TGAGTTGCTATCAACTTGACCTTTCCAGGCTCTGAAGAAGGCGAAATTCGCCGAAACGTCAGCTTAATCGTGAACAAAGAATAGTAACACCTCGCGTTTGCTCAACAAAAATACGAAGAAAATCACATATTAATCCTTTTCTCCCTCTTTTTCTCTGCATTTATAAGGCAATAAAATGCCAAACAATGAGTTATCACTTATTTGCAGAGAGGATTCGTGCCATTCATTTCTGGCCATCCTATCCTCCCTAGTTCGTAGAAGCGTTACTCCTAGTCCTAGTAGTCCTAGTTTTAGTTTTGGGCAATCTTGTAAACGAATACATTTAACATATAGATTTTGCCATAACACAAATGTTCGCATTATAGCCAATAGGCAAGCATGCTTCTCCCTTGTCTTGTTTTCTCCTCCATGTTACAGACTTGTCATTTCTTCCATCTCCTTAATCACAGCTTTTACTTCGTTTACCTTTATAAAGTTTCTTTTATGGAGTGAGAAAACAACTCTGCATATTGCTCACCGTATTTGTAGCAGCACAGCAATCGGTCAAGACGTTTTTCTCTGCACTGTCAATAAGAAAGAAACGGAAAGGAATATATCCCATAGCAAGAAAAAACCCTTTGGCGATATGCTTGGCAATAATTCTGGTTTAGTTTAACTTTATACTATTTACAATTTTAACTTATTATTTACTGCCTACTCTTTTTAATGGCAGGGTATATTGCGAAACATAACTTTCAATGATGCTGAGATATTTGCAGATCTCCGGGTCACAGGTGTCTGCGGTGGGGAACGAACGCGCTGTTGTCCTTCCCGGGCTTAGAACTAGTTGAGAGACAGGCGAAACGAAGGACCCGCATGGTGTGGTGGTGAAGTGCGCTACTCCCCGGTAAGGACAATAGCGCCCGTTCGTTCTCTACGGCATACACTTGCGGTCGGGCGTTTTGCAAATACCTTAGCATCATTGAAATTTATGCCATTTAGTTTTTCATAAAAATGAAGTGTGTTTTGACGATGATGAGTCACAGAAACCATGGGTTTTTCTCACTTTCCGAATCTGCAGTCTTGCCATTGACAACTAAGGAGCGAGGCGCTGTCGACTTTGTACTTTTGCTAAGAGACATATAGAATCATGAAGAAGCCTTCCTGTCTTTGCTGCTTGTAATTTGCTTCCACCTTCTGTATACATTATTACACCCAGTGGTTACAGGTACGCTGCAACGTACTCGTAGTCTCTGGTTCAATCCCATATCCTTCGTTAACCAAACCCTCTATGTCTGTGGTGTTAGTAAATTGGCCTAAATTTATTTTGGAAGAAAAAACGCTAACTTTATACATCCGTAGGCTTGGCTGGCCATTGGTTAAGCTAAATATGCATTAAGTCACTTCTACAATGCTTGATTATGTCGAATTCATGGCGTATCTCAAACGGACTGATCAACGCCGAACACTTTATCTTTCCACCCACTCTGTATACATGCAGCAGTGGGTATTTTCTGATACACTGTTCCACCGAAACACAACGAAAACCACGAAGGAGATGGTTGAAAGCTGTAACTAGCAGGCAGCCCTCATTCCTTCCACGAAAGACTATAGAAACCTTGCTAGTGAGTATATTCAGTTCTGTATCGTGAAGCCTCGGTGAACAATCCGTAGATACTCTTCGGTAGAACGATTAAAGTTAACCTCATACAAGAAATGCAATACTTCATGTTTTTCAAGAAAACTCAGCGAACTAAGGAACTCCATCATGCCATGAAGACGTTGCCTTTGCGCTGTTATTGGCGTTATTCGCGCTACTGAGCGGGACTTGAGGTGATACAAACTGACCGAATGATTCAACATGCATTATTAGCTAGACAAAACTTTAATATTAGTATCTCGTCAACTTTTGCTAAACATTCTATTTATTGCTCCTCTTTTTTCTATGTTTTGATGAAGATTTACATGAGTGGTTGGAGCGGCTAAAGTTAAGCTTGTGTGGGGACGGCCTAAGGCGATGTGAGTCGTATTCTTGATGAATTTTTAAGTGGACGTTTTAGCGGTAGTGTTGTTTATTTTTGACAACAAAAGTATATCTGGACTTAGACGCGTTAACCAATAGCGACAGTGTTGACGCCTTGGTCTCAACAATCCTCCGTCCATACATCCAATCGACGGAGAATTTCGCTGTTCTCCGTGCGATCTTTTACTCGTTTTGTTCACGTCCTCATCGGTCTCTATACGAAACATATTCACTACAAGGTGTTCGCCTACTAGAATCGCATTCTACGTTAACTTCTATGTCTTAGATTCTTATATGGTGTTCAGATATGCTGAAATGTCGCGTGCTTCAACCAATATTCATTCAGTATGGTGTAATGTCGTGATGATCCACCATTCTGCATTTAGATATGCTGCAATGTCGTGATGATCCCCCATTATTCAATCTGCAGGATAACGCTACTATTGAGTTCTTCGAACGTTTGGTGGCGTTCAGAGAGTAAGCAAGAGATTCTACATCTAATATTACTATATCCAGATATCTAACTACTAACTCCAGAAATATCTCAACCTCATTTTGGTTGTTTTTCACATAATACCCTACCATGAACAAAAAAGAATAATCAACGAGTAAAAAGTTAAACCTCAAAAGATTCTAGTTTATTAAATGCTCAGAGTAAATAATTAGGCATTTCCTGAGGTTTGCGGTAGTGATCCAAACTATATATATTGATCCAAACCGAGGTTAATTGAAAGTCCACTTACAATATCAGACCAAATAGTTCTCGATATTCTTGTTGAGCAAAAAGCTCTGAAGGATAAAGCTCTCGACGTTGATCAATCCCTGAGGGATGCGCCATGCATTCGACTTCATTAAGTGTCATTGGAGGCGACTAAGTGCATATTTGGCCTTCACAGTGACTCGCGGTGGCCTACCGATGTATCGAGCCAGTGCTACTATCCTCCCAGACAAGTCTCGTACCAATTTGCCGAGCCCGAGGGGATGGAAGGCTTGGTGGGCCATGGGCGCAGAGATCGATTCCAAGTGTGCGTCGCAGTGGCGCCTCCAACCACTGTGCCACACGTGCCCTTTTCCTTGTTAAGCGAACAGTCGGTGATAGGAAGTCGGTCTTGGGAATTACTACAAGTCAGACCAAAATGTTCATCTTGCCACCATTAATCTTCTTTCAATTATGCGCCAATAGGCGAAGAAATCTAATTTGCTACCGCGCCCACTATGATTTGAAAGGAACTCGTTCTTGTAACTGTGTCCCTCGTCGCGTGTATTAATACTGTACTACCACATGTGTTAATTAGAAACTCAATGGAAGGGCTCTTTTTTAATGAGAGAAGGCGATCATAACGCAGCTGGTTTTGTTAGCTTTGTATTAATGGCAGGATATCGGCCAGTAGCGATGACTGCAGAAAAATCATAAGTAAGGAAAGTCTACCCAACTGATAACCCTTAACAGATTGACCATCAGCCATTGGATTGTGGAATTTAATTCTCCAATAATCCATGATTTTTTTTCAGAATCTACACACAAATCCATCAATATGTGTGCTTGATGGTGTGCATAGTTGGTATCATCCTTAACGTTCTACACTTTTTTGTGTTAAGGTAAGTTCACCATATCATGAAACTGTGCTGTATCGTACCCTACCGTATTCATAGATGATATTAAACTCGTCGTTTTTGGCTTTTACATAGGTTTTTTTGCTATTTTAGTCACCGATCAATGCGTACCTACATCATTAATGCTCTACTTTGTGCGATGGCCGTATGTGATATCTTAACGATGTCGTCTTATCTAGTCTATATACTTCGATTTAGAATATTCGACAACACAATCGGTGTAGCTGGGTAAGAATGGCAGATTTATCATTTTTCTAGCGCATTATGAACCGTGTGAGCCATATGTGGCTTATAAATGACTCAACATTTAGCGCAGCTTCCAACTTTAAACTAACATATCTAAATTCTTGGAATGCGTGCAGCTCAGCGTCAGAGATGCTAAGCAATAAACACGTGGTCACAGGTTCAATCTCGTGCTCCGCTTTCAAAAAGGTTCACATCTCTTTAGTGTTGGGAAATTGATACTGGACTTGTCTGCGAGGTTACCATCACAGCGTTGATACCTCGGTCATTGTACAGGCTAGATACATATTTCATTGCCTCTGACGATGGTTGATGAAGTGGAGTACACGGCGCATCTCTGGGAGATTGATGAACGCCTGAAGCTTTCCCTTTTATCCTTTTATCTAAGCTTTTATGGTAAACTTTGTTAGTTGAGAAGCAAACTATTCATATCTGTACTTTGTTCGGAGAAAGGTATAAATCTTCGTACTCTACCAAGATGAAATTCTGGTTTCTTCAAGTTCATAAATCGCTTTTTTTTCGTCTTATTGTAGAGAAGGCTCGTCTCTCAAGTAACCAAGTAATCGAACAAGCACTGTTGTCCAACAAGACGGGATAATATCCCTTAATGTAATACACACTTATATTTATTATGTCACATTGTGGCGTTTACTACCTCCCAACGGTTTACCGCCTCATCGCGGATGGGAGGTGTTTCTGGGTGTCGGGCTGCGATGTACAACGGGAGATTCATCTCCGTAGCAGGGCCTTCCAAGCTGAGAAGGAGTCCGGTGTTTCCATCAGGAAGCCTAGCTAAAAGTAAACCAATACCAGGATCCACCACTGTCCTGGTATCAAAGTCGCATGATGGTAAATCTCCCTCTGATCCACAATGGCTGCGACTACCTGTGGTTGTGAGGATCTGGGCAGACTTTGGCCAGGTTGTCCTCGGAATTCGAGAGAACCACAATGGCTTAACCAGCAAATCTCCGAAAAGTGGCGATTATGCTGGGTCCCGCACAACCAGTGAGGACGGGCCGTTCAAGTATCAAGTAAATAGGTATACTGTATTATATTGTATGTTGCCATATTGTTATGTATTATAACATTAAATTATTATATTTTTCTACGTTGTATAATTGCATTGCTACATTATGTTCACTATTTGTAGCATATTACTATGTTGCATTAGACTGTATATACATACATGTATATATGTATTACTGGAGCGCATGTAGCATAGTGGTAGAAAGCGCCATGCAAATGCATGACAAATGGGATCGATCCCCGCGCCCAAGTTCACCAAGTCCTCCATCCCTCTGGAGTCGGCAAATTGGTACCATACTTGTTTGAGAGGCTGGCAGCACGGGCTCGATACATCGGTAGGCTACCACGATTCATTGTAAAAGCCAGATATGCGTTCGATCACCTCCAGCGATGCGTAATGAAATCGAATGCTTGACACATCCCTCAAAGGTTGACCAACGCCGAGGGCTTTTTTCCTTTTTAGCTCTGTATATTATATATATATGTATGTATATACATATCCTTTGAGCAACAGAATGAAGTCTTTTCTTATAGAAGTCAGTCAAATGTCCAGGTACTCGAACACTGTAATTATCTGAACTCTATCTTCAGTTATGAAAAAACCGATGTCATTGCGAATCCGTTAAACCCTCTACGCCATTTAGATTGTTCTGTGGTGTATGGGTAGTGACGTTAAGAATTTAGATACATTACCAGATTCTGTTATAGATCGCCGTCTTCTCCACAGTTATCCCTTTGTCATTTGACACTTGGTGTGGTTCTCAGAAGTTCTATGGTTTTGAATTACGGTAAAGCTTATATGAAGTTTGCCAACCAAATTTAACCTTAAAAACGCCGGAAAGAAGTCCGATCAATGAGCGGCCTGGAAAGAAAGAAAAGCTTGCACAAGAAAAAAACCACCAGCCCAATGGAAACTGATAGACCTAGAGCTCTGAGGATTTTCAAGTAGAAGTTGATCTCCTTATATGAGAATTTTTAGCACAGAATCAGTCATCGAAGGAATTTTGTACACCAGCGTGAGTGGCACGGGATTCGTCCTGGATTTTCAGTGATGTCATCAACGACTAATCTAAAATATGCATAAAGGATAAACATTGTTTGCAGAGGTATTGAAAAAACAGAATGTGGTTTGCAGCTTAAATAGAGAAACTCTCGCTTAGCAACAATAGGGACGGATTTGGTTCCTTATATCGTCCTCAAGCTGTCGATTGACCCTTTGCAGCATTCTCTGCCGTCGCAATAATTGCTCGCTGCTAAAAAGTCCAAACAAACTTTTTTTCATCTCACGTGGACTTGCGACTGTCTATGATAAAGACAAAAAGACCATCTCTGTCAAGGTTGTACAGAATCTGAGGCCCTAGACCAGCCTCGATATATCGATGAGAAGAGAAGATAACAGGTCCTGAAATCGCAATTGAAGCTATGCACCAACACGATAGCCTCTGTGGATAATGGCGCGAAGTTTGTGAAACTAATATAGGAAGCGCTTCCAGGTAAAAGAGAGAAAAGAGATGGAAGTTGAGAAATTCATGGCGTTTTTGACCTTTCGAGGATCTGAGGTGTTCAACTTCGTCGCTACTAATCGGTCTTTAAAGAAGTATTCGGAGCATTAATCAACTTTTGAGAAAACAAAAGACGCACAAAATCAATTCCAGAACGTCTTTTTGGCCTGTCCATGGTTTTTTCAATTCATGTTTCCTCACTTAGTTCAGAAAATTTAGCATCTGAGTGGAAATACTGCTGCTTACATCAGGTGCATTTATATCCACATCCATGCTTTACGGCCATCCATCAAAAATGAATTTTGACAAAACACATGGTGGCTGAATGGACTTAGAATTGCTTATTCTACTTTATCTTCCCACAGTAGTGTTCGCTTCATCGTTTCATTGTAGGCATGTTGAAAAACATTTTGCAGGAAGTTGTTCATTTGAGCAGAACGCATGGTCACTCATGCAGAAAAGTAACTTCCGTCCAACCACACATCTACGAGCGAAATTGTGTAAATTCAATTGCAATGCAGCAAACAATGCAGTCTCTATTAAACATTTTAGTAGTTGAATGCATATTAACCTATACAGTGAATTCCGGGAGTCTACCGATGAATCAAATCCTTTTCTCGTCTTTTGAGTTAAGTCTTGTACCGATTCGCTGGCCAAGAGAGACTGAAGGCTCAGTAGCCCGTGAACGACCGAGATTTCCAAGCTAAGGTATTCCTGTGTCTTTAATATAGGAAGTAGGGTTGATGTCACAAAAGGAAAGTTGCTGCTTTGTATTACGATATGAGCTTTCAGGACAGCAGCAATTTGCACGCTTAATCTTCCGAAGTACAGGTTGTAAACGAATCTAGGGAATAGGAAAACAATTTCCTAGAAATTAGATCTGCACAAATGAACTTATTTGAAATGAAACATAATAGAGAAGGGAAATTTTACAGATGTTTCTGAATGAAACTGGTACTTAAACTTACTCTACTTATCGTGCTTGAAAGAAGACCTTATTTAGTTTTATCCACTGAGCATATTTCTACCTAAATTATTACGGAGTTAACAGAAGGATCAAAGATAAAGCGTTGATCAATCCCTGAGGGATGCGCCGTACATTCGACTTCATTAAGCATCGGTACATGTGATTGAATGCATATCTGGCCTTTAAATAACTCGCAGTGGCCTGACGATGTATCGAGCCAGTGCTGCTATCCTCACAGACAGGTCTGGTACCAATTTGTTGATCTCGGAGGGATCGAAGGCTTGGTGAGCCTGATGCGCGGGATCGTACTCATGTGTATTGCAGGGCGCTTGTGACCATTGCGCTACACGTATCGCTATTATTATGGATTTAGTAGAATCAAATCTACACAGATTTACATCGTATTATGTCTTGAGCTATATGAGGCCCTCAATTTCGCAGCCTTGTCATTGGCTTCATCGTTCAGATGTGCCGTTGAAATTTTTAAAGCAAAAGCCTAGAAGGCTGCGCCCAATCATCCTAGGCATTTGTATGAAGAATTATTGATTTCTGGTGTACTACTTAGCATTTATGCGATGGAATGAATTTCTGCTAGGCTTATTTAAATAATGTCAAACATAGGCTATAGTAACAGTGCGGTTTTTAAGAACAGTGTCCTCAACCTTTAGAATTAGAAGCTTCTTCGCTGTAATGATAAACATTCTCTGGAGACGAAGTGGATAATGCATATATATATATAAATATATATCTAAAAAATATATATATGTGACGCGTGCGACGCAGTGGTCGGAGGCGCCCTGCAATACACATGGGATCGATTGCCGCGCCTCTCCCCCATAAAGCCATCCATGTCTTCGGGGGCGGTAAATTAGTACCAGCTTGTCTGGTGGGATAGCAGAACTGGCTCGATACATCGGTAGACCACTGCGACTCATTGTAAAGGCCATTCAATCACCTCCAAACAATGCTTAATAAAACCGAATGCATGATGTATCCCTAAGGGATTAATCAAAGCCGAGAGCTTTTTTTATCCTTTATATATATATATATATCCCAAATAATCACGTTCGCTTTTAACGAAATATTCGACCACTGAAGACTTTAGAACTCTTTTATTTATTTTCAGCTATTCTTATTCCTGGCTGGTGTTTTTAATTGGCCATGTCACATCATCAATCGCACTACATACCGGTTCTCTGTATCTGTCAGTGGCAATGGCCTACATTCGGTGGACAGCACTCGATCGATTAGACGCTAAATGGATCAATAACAGAGCGATTGGGTAAGATATGTATGTTCTGGATGCGGAAGTACACATGAAGTTCGGCTACTTGTTTCGGATGTATCGTAGAATTTCGGAGTGGATATTTTACGGGATATCATTGCTAGTTTCACTAAATCTAACGTCCTGTTAGCTTACTGGATTCGATATCCACAAAAGTTCAATCATACAGTAAGCACTGCAATTTTGACTAATGCATAGAAAAACATGGAAACCGCGCACTACTAGGCTAGTGGGAAGTCAATTTAATACTAATAAATGTTTCATGGAACTCTATAATGATAGTCAACAACGAAAAAAGACCAGTAGTCGCATCATGAATTTCCCTTATTATTGGCAACCGCATTAGCACGCTCTATGAGATGACAGCAGAACGATTTGTTAGAAAGGATGAAGGATAAAACACTCGGCATTAATCAATCCCTGTGGAAGGCGCTATGCATTCGACTCCATTCGTTGAATCGTAGAAGTGATTGTATGCAAATCTAGTGTGTACAGGTGTACAATGAATTAGGGCGACCTATCTCTTAATCCATTTCTTGTTTTCGTATAAATTCAATGTGGATGCAATCCCAGACAAGTCTGATACCAATTTGCGTGATATCACGTCTGAGTGTCTGATACCACGTGATATCTCAGGGCATTCCTCTCTGCTATTCATTGTAGGGTTTTTGGCATTGATCCAAAAAGCCTCAAGAAGTTTTCGCGCTGATGTTTTGGACTCCTGTACAAGGATATTGACTTTTACTTCAAAATCGTCTCCGCTATGCTTTTGTATCCTATGCGTGCCTAGTGGGGTGCTTCGTCTTAGTTTTCGTTTGCCATCTAGGTGTTCTTTTATACGGATACACAAAGGTCTGCCCGTTTCGCCAATATATTCATCTCCGCATTTATTACAAGAGATCAGGTATATCGTACCTGAACTCATGCAATCACCGTCCTGCCGTAGGGCAAGTTACGTAATTTGTTGTTTCACATAGACGGTCATACGGGCGGTTACGAACTAACTGACGACGTAGAGTAGCCGATGGTATTTCAACTATCGCTACCGATTTGTTCGCAACAAGAGCTCGAGCCAACTACAACCGGCGGAGGCTCGGCTCTCTCTAATGGCATGAACTCGCTATTAGAATTGCGCCCAAGTTCCTCACTAACTGAACCCATTTCTAAAGTTAACCTTTTGTAGGGTCGCATGTAAATTGCATGAACGTTAAGAGAGACTCCGTAAGAAAACCAGACTATTGCCGTCGTTTCTCTAAGTGTAGACCTCGTAAGAACGCTAGACCGCTGCCATCGTCTCCTTAGGCGTTCTTCTGATAAAAAGACCCTCACAATAAAGTTTCTAAAAAACTTCAGGTTTTACAATGTTTAACGTTTTGTTTTCTGCCTTCTATAATTTTCATGGCAGGTTACTAAGCGAAATACAACCACAACGTTGCTGAGATATTTGCAAAACTGCGGTCCGGAGTTTTGCAAATATCTCAGCATTACAGCAGTTATATTTCGCAAAATACCTTGCCGTTAAAAATAATAGGCAGTAAGTAGAAAGGTTAACATTTTAGAATGTTTTACGAGCACCCAAATGTTCCTGGACGTAACTTGCGTTCTAACAGCGACTTCGCAGTGAAGTCCTTCAACGTTACCACCCTTTATACAAACATGTCAAATGACTCCCCACGCAAGCCATCCACGAGCTTCAGCCATACGAAGGAGTAATGAACATGTATGACTTTTCGATTCAGCAGCTCATGGCCCTTTTAAAGGTGTGCCTAAACTGCTCAATCTTCAGATATGTATTCTTTCTTTGATGAGCTTACACAAGGTTGATAATGATATTTATTTATTTTCGGTTAACGTTTCGACGTCTTCGTCTTCCTCAGAGCTGATGATCCCAGTCGATGGTCCATGCTTGTTGTTCGTCTCAACGTTGCAGCTTCGTCGTCGTGTCGAGTCAGGTCTTCCTCAGTGTGCCATCTCCTCGAATGAGGCATCATCACTCAGTGATGCCCTTTTATACACGATGCTAATGGTCGATGTAATGATAATATCCGGTGATAACAACTTGTTTTTCTTCCGGACATACATCATTGCGCACATCGTGCAGAAGTCGGTGTTGTTATCAGCTAGCACAAAGCGTAGTAATATTTCGAAACCGACTTTCCTTAAACCTCGGTATCACTAATCAATATGTATTCTTTCTCCCAAGTCCGACTTTCTATTAACCTCGGCATTGATTGAATATATCTTTCTACTTCTGTTCAGCAAACACGAGATGCTATTTTATTTCTTTATTTACGCACAAGCTGACGTTTCGGCGGATTTCGCCTTCCCCAGAGCCTGGAAGGGTCAAGTTGATAGCAATCCATTCGGCCAAACACCTCCATAACCAAACAGAAAAAACGCTAAACCGAGATTTCAATGATTTCAATCACATTTAGCATGGCTCTGCACACTCGCCAATTTCTGTGAGTCTTCCACTGAGTATGTCGCGTGAAGACCGACAGCACCAAATTCACATGGAAGCGTAATGTGCCCCTCCCATCAGAATAACAGGCTTATATACTGTCCAATATCACGCGTGATAACGAGGCATTCCTCCTTGCGGTTCATTTTCGGATTCTTGGAATTTATCCAGAATGCATTCGGCAATCCATTAGGCACGCGACATACTCAGTGGAAGACTCACAGAAACTGGTGAGTGTGCAGAGCCATGCTAAATGTGATTGAAATCATTGAAATCTTGATTTAGCGTTTTCTCTGTTTGGTTATAGAGGTGTTTGGCCGAATGGATTGCTGTCAACTTGACCCTTCCAGGCTCTGGGGTAGGCGAAATTCGCCGAAACGTCAGCTTGTGCGTAAATAAAGAAATAAAATAGCACCTCGTGTTTGCTGAACAGAATTAGAAAGATATATTCAATCAATGCCGAGGTTAATAGAAAGTCGGACTTGGGAGAAAGAATACATATTGATTAGTGATACCGAGGTTCAAGGAAAGTCGGTTTCGAAAGATCTTCAGATAGTCCGGAAAACATAACGCACAATGGAGAAGGTTGACAATGGGACAGCGACTGCTACCAACATTTACCATTGCTTTATGTCCCGAGAAAAACCGAAAGAAAGTTGGCTTCTGTTCCTAATAAACGTCCATATTGACCTATCTGAAAACGGCTGCTTTAACAAATGGAAACTAAACTCAAGTAGCAAAACCATACTGCTTCACTAACTCTCGTCTCACTCCTCGCACACAAAAAGGGTGCTTGTGAGAAAGATGTTTCGGACAGCCACCAACACCTACACAGGAAGAGACTAGAAGGAAGAATCGCTGCAATTGGGCAGGTGAAAAGCCATTTCAAATGGCTACGAAACTGTAGCTCCTCGTGGTAGGTTTAGAGGAAAACCCTGACCCCTAAACGAATATTCTAGCTATAATATCATCTCGTTTAAACTGCACTTCATTTATAACGAACTAAGTGCAGCTATAAAACGTTGCTTAAGAAGTCTTCCATAAAAGTGGTAAAAATACGACCGGACACTCCAAAACACCAGCTTGTTCGCGACCGCCTGTATGACCGTTTAATACAACGCAGAATTGTCCTATATGCCCCAGCAATTGAGATGGCGATTGCATGAATTCGGGTGCAGTTTATTTGGTTTCTTGTAGTGTGAGGGGGCGAATATGTTGGCGAAACGGGCAGACTACTTTGTGTCCAGATAAAACAATTCCTAAACGCAAGTTTACGCAGCAAATCCCAGGACCATCTTTTTTCAAACGTTTCTCATTAAGAAAACAGTGAATTAAACAAATCTCTATTGGTTCAAAGTAACAGTCACTGTATTGGAAAAAAAAACTCTAAAAAACTCTAGAACTTGAACGCATTAAATCCTCGAACTATTCTAGATAAATGCCAAGAATCCAAAAAGGTACCGTAAGAAAGAATGATCACACGTCATCTTCCACAATATCTCAGGCTGTTATTTAACGTTGAAGAGGGCACTGTCCATACATGTAAACTCTGTACGGCTGTCTTCAAGTGAAAAACTCATAGATGGGGTGAAGTGTGTGAGGAAGTTGTTCTGATTCCAATGTGATTGAAATTTAAGCTCCTCGGCTTTTCTGGCGAGATTATGGAAGTATGCAAGTATGCAATCAGATAACTAGGTTGCAATCAACTTAACTGCTTAGAACTCCGGAGTTTAAATCTGCCGAAATGTTACCTCGTGCTGATAAATAAATAGTGTAGTGATAACCCCGTGTTTGTTCATCACGAAAACTGAATTACTAATCAAGAACGAGGTTAACAAAAAGCCGATTTTGAGAAGTACTGGATTAAATATTCAGTAAAGTTAAACCGTACAAGAAGCACTGCATTTGCTATTACAGTATGCCGGGCTACGGGAACTGTGTATTAGTGGGTTAGGGAAATCTTAATTTAGTTGTAATGGAATTTCATAATGATGATCAACAGCGAAGGAAATCCATAGTCGCACCATGAGTTGCCCTCATAAAAGGCAACCTCATTTGCATTATTCATGCGGTGGCAGCCGAATAATTGCTTAGAAGGGATAAGGGATAAAGTACTCGGCATTAGTCAACTCTTGAGGGATGTGCTATTGCGTTCGACTTCATTCTTAACATCGTAGAGGTGATTGAATGGAGATCTGACCTATAAAACGAATTACAGGAGCCTATTACTGGAACGGTTTAATGTACGTGTCATTCCAGATAAGTCTGGTACGAATTTGCCGTTCCTGTAGGAAGAGTGCCTAACTTGCTCGCAACGAGGGTTAGAACCAATGATCACGTGTTTATTGTACAGTATCTCTACCCACTGCGATACATTCATTACGAATTCCTGTAAACGTGAATACATCTCAAAGAAATGATGAAACCTATCCTTTTCGATGATAATCTGTGAAATTTAGGCATATATTCCTCTTCACTACCTTCTCTGTTACATTTATTTCTATACCAACATTGATGGTGCATAGAATTATACCGGTCAGCGAAGTACTAGGAACCAATGACACACAGGTGAATATTTTTTCTTTTTCATTCCAATGAAATCGTTTATCAAAGTCTTTATAATCTTTAAAATTAGCCTCTCTTCTACATTTCAATAGATTGCAAAAGGAATTGTAGTTGTTGGTAGTTACAACTTTAAAATTCTGCTATGATTAATAGGGTGTTCCATCTAACTGGAAAATTTCATTTTCTATTCCGTACTGGCTACGAGAAGCTAAAATAAGTTCAGTTAATTCTTCGCATTTTTGTTGAGCAAACGCGAGGTGTTATTATTCTTTATTCACGAATAAGCTGACGTATAAAAAATACTCCGCAAGGCACGCATGCCTCATTATCATGCGTGATATAGGGCAGTATATAAGACTGCTATTCTGATAGGAGGGGCACATTATGCTTCCATGTGATTTCTGTGCGGTTGGTCTCTACGTGACATACTTAGTGGAAACCTCATAGGAAGCGGTGAGTGTGCAAAGCTGTGTTCAATGTGATTGAAATCTTGGTTTAGAGTTTCTTTGTTTGGTTATGGAGGCGTCTGGCCGAGTAGATTGCTATCAACTTGACCTTTCCAGGCTCTGAGAAAGGCGAAATCCGCCGAAACGTCAGCTTATTCGTGAATAAAAAATAATAACACCTCGCGTTTGCTCAACAAAAATACAAAGAATTACTTGATCAATGCCGAGGTCGGTCGTGTAAGTTCAGTTACTTCACATCAATACTAATGAGATACAGCAAACTTTTTTTTGACACTTTGGTAGGATTCTCTCCAAGGCTAAGTGGTATGGTTTCCAGACGTCCTACACAACAAGTGCACACCACACAAGTGACCTATGCATTGGCTCCAATGCATGTTCATCCTGACTATTTACACGTCCTAAGTTCGCTTATTACATTCTTCCTAAACGGTGGATACTTTGTCTAACATAGATGTTTGGTTAGATATGGTCAAGGCTGTGATACTGTAACAAACGCCATGTACCGTAACAATTAAGTGTACCCCACAACACTGTAGCCATTGCTCTGGAGTAACTATCGTATTCACACACTTATATACTATATTGTGAACATGTATGAAATATGGAACAAAATGTGTGTGAAATAGTAAATAATATAAGCAACTGATAAATAATTTATAAAATATGAAGGTTTGATGTAGGTATTGTGAAGTTCCATCAGTGCATAATCATTTCGACTCCCAACAGCTTACCACCTCATCGTGACTGGGAGGTGTTCGTGGGTGTCGGACTGCAATGTTCAGCGGGGGTTCACCCACAAGTAGGGTCTCCCTAGCAGAGGAGGTCGGCACTTCCATCGGGAAGCGCAAATAAGAGTAAACCAATACCAGGATCGTCCACCGTGCTGATACCAAACTAGTCGCATGGTGGCAAAGCCTCCTTTGATCCACAAGGGCTACGACTCCTGTGGTGGTGATGACCTGGGCCAGACTTTGGCCAGGCTGAGCTCGGAACTCCAGAGAACCACAATGGCTAAATCAGCAAAACTCTGAAAAAATGGAGATTATGCTGGCGTCCGCATAATCAGTGAGTACGGGCCATCAAAGTGTCGAAGTGTGAGCTTTCACCTTTCCATATGAGTTTCATCAAATTATCAGTGTGCAAAAGCTTTTTCTTTAATGGTATGATACAATGAACGAACAAAAGATATATTCATGAGCATTTTACTTTTTACAGTATGAAAGCCTCTACACCGTGAAATTAGACGAAACCGATTTAAACGGATGTACATTGTTTCGTGCCAATTTATGGATAACTGGCATTTTCTTTAAGGTGAGAGTCGCTGCATAAGAGTGAAAAGCAGAAACGTCTCAATGGATTTCATTACAAGGTTTCTGCTTTAGGCTGTTCCATGCGCTCTCCTTCTTTGGTTTACGATTGCATTAATATGGAAACTATGCGAAATGAGCAAGAAACGGAAACAACTCAGAGCTGATAACAAACATAATCGGTAGGACCACTAAAGAGGAAAAAAGAATAAGAAGACAATGAGGATGAAGAAGAAGCCGAGATTAAGTAGATCATATCTACCGAAGTTCGCTTATTACATTCTTCCTAATCAGTGGATACATTGTCTAACATTAGATGTTTGGTTAGATGTGGTCAACACTGTGATACTGTAACAAGCGCCATATACCGTAACGATTAAGTGTACCCCACAGTTCATAAACTCGATAGCATGCATTTTTTTTTTCAGAAAACACTCTAAGGTTAGCATTGATAAGACGACCCTCATGCTGATCATCATGTTGGTGGTCTTCTTGTGTACAGAACTACCGCAAGGTAAGTAAAATATACGTTATTTTATTCAGCTTTAAGTCGTTTGCATGAGATTTATGGGTCAATACAAATACAAATAAAACCACATCTAAACTTGTTGTGAGTTCGAGCCTTGATGTTCAAGATCTGATGAATCTGAATGTTTTCGACGTTTAGATAGTGCAAATGCAAATGTTTTCTAACGACTGCTGTGCCTCAGCACTTGTGAACTCCAATGTGAATTGATTTCCACTCATACGCTTCAAAAATAGTGTCCGTTTTCAACCAATATAACGTGTAGTAAACTTTATAGATTGAAATAAGAACCATTAGAATCCATGGGCCAATAAGACTGCCGTTCTTCACTCTACAACTCTGAAACTGCGAATTTGTAAAGCCCAGAAGCCATACTTTTGCCGAAAATCCTATTTGGAACGCGGATGCAATTGAACAAGCGCAATTTCGCCAGCATGACGTGATGATGTCGCCGGATGCGTCGTTAATGTTCTCCGCTTTCAGCCGTCATTAGGATTGTTGAAATATCAAATTTCCTCGGCAATTTTCCAGAACTTCTGTTCTAGGAAGTTCAAAAATGAAGCAACTTCTTTGAACGTATTTCTTCTGAACTAAACGTTTCAAGTACTCTACTTACCGAAATTTTATCAGTATCAGCTGAAAAACCGGTGAAGAACTCCAGGTTTTCGGCGTTTCCCACTTAACATATAACGCCTGTAATATAGTGGTTGTAGTGGTAGTCGCGGATTCTTAGGAAGTCGACACACCAGAACTATAGTAAGGACGTCTGGACAGATCCGACATCGCCACCACCACTATTTTTGGTGCACTGCTGGCTCGAAACGATCCGACGTCGCCCGCACCACTACATGACGCCGATTTTTTGATAAGTGACGGTAGTTCCTCCACAATTAGAACATTTGAGTTGTGAACTAGATAGATTTATATAGGAGACTTGGCGCTATCTCGATATTTGTGTATAAAACTTCTATACAGTAACTCGAAAGACCGACTTTCTATGAACCTCGGCATAAATAGTTGATATATTTATTTATGTGATCTTATAAACTGATCTTCTTAAGAAGAAGAAGAAAATACTGGAAGCAGCAGAGAAAAGATGCAGTTTGAAACAATGCCGTCGGGACTTGTGTGATTATAGTGTTCTACTGTCGGCCCTGATGAACGAAGATGAGATTCGAAAGACCGACTTTCTATAAACCTCGGCTTAGATAGTTGATATATTTATTTATGTGATCTTATAAACTGACCTTCTTAAGCTGACGCGAGGTTGGTACAGATCTTCGTTGTCGTTGTTTTTGATGTTATTGAACGATGGCTGACGTTTCGGCGACTTCGCCTTCCTCAGAGCCGTGATGTTACGTGCGGGACTCTAACATCACGACTCTGAGGAAGGCGAAGTCGCCGAAACGTCAGCCATCGTTCAATAACATCAAAAACAACGACAACGACAACGACAACGAAGATCTGTACCAACCTCGCGTCAGCTTAAGAAGATCAGTTTATAAGATCACATAAATAGATTCTATACAGTACTCTTCCAATGTTAAGTATATTTTGATTTAAAACTCTCAAAAATATAGAGCTGGAATTTCGAATTTTTAAAGTTTTCGATGCTAACCCAGTGGTTACAAACAGGCAACCTCGTTGTCATTTGTTTCTTTCCTAACACTTGCTTTCCCACCATTGTATTACAGCTACTATTTAGGTCTACTTGCGATTCTGTCCGCCATCTACCCAACGCATATTCACACCATGGTCTACTTGAATGTTGGAGAAGTTCTTGATTTAATGTCGCTAGTGAACTGCCTTACTTCATTCTTTTTGCACTGTTGTATGTCTAGTACATATCGCGCTAATGTTCGTCTTCTGTTAATCCCTAATAACAAAACAACCACACGAAAGACTACAATGGCAGTACAGTCGTTAAAGTTACTAATGTCATGAACGTGGTCGCTGAGGCGACTACTGACTTTATGAATTCAAACGATACTGAACCTTAGATCCAAGATCGTTCAGTAGTCATAGGATATCGTGCTGAAGTATCGTCCAACCTCCTATCTCTAGTTCGCTGTTTGTTACTTCTGCGAACTGTTTCTTGTTAATGCGTACCTGACATGGAATGGATGTAGACCACAGTACTTGCCTGACGATAGATAGACATCCAACTCAAAACCTTTTCTTAACTCATAGAACGACAACTGAATCATAAGGAACACTGCAAACTGTCTATCAAGAGTCGGTCTATTTCTCAAGTTGCTTTGGCAGTAAGGGATTTTTACCTGTCCTTAAAGCCATTTACTACTTCAGAAAGTGGTACTTTTCCCATATCTCTACACGTAACGTTTTATAGAGCATTGTGACCATAGTGCCATTCATGTATGATGTACCAGTTACACACGGGTATAAATAAACATTTCTTAAAGTGATCTATGAACAAACACCAAATTACAACTGAAATCCACAGTTTAACGACGGACAAACAAGCTCTTACGTTAACAGACATAATTAGAGCTTAGAAAAAATATCTCATGTTCAATATTTTTGATCACAAGGTACAAACACGTACCCCAGATGGTTACTTATAACTTGGGAGAGAATAGGTAGTGATACCTTACCATACACTACCGGAGTGAATTCCATATTTGAGGAGATCCCCGATCGCCCTTCATGCACTTCCCAGTCATATGGTCGCACTGAGTTGATGCACAAGGACACTATGATATATATGCATATAAAAATGACTACAAAAGGTCTAAGTCAGTTCGGTGAAGCGAGTTGCGAGGAAACCCATCCTCATAACTCACCTACGCCTCAAAGGAAGTGCATGGGTCGCTCTTGATTCGCTTCCAATTCATTATTGTTTTCATCACCTTCCCTTACCACTGTTTCGAAACTTCGCCTCAGAGAGAGATGTGGTCACCAATTCAACGATAACATAGATTATTCACAATGAAATACAAAGAGATGTGTTTAAAACAAATCAACAGAGTCAAAAGTAGATTTAGCACTGCTTCTCGCAGCAAATAAAGCACCATTGCCAGATGAAACCAAACTAGTGGAGAGATACTAACGGCACACTTTGGAAAAAACCTCGTAACTACTCTACATTCCAGTGCGTTATAGACTATCCCATGCTGCCTCTAAAGAATATAAAATCTCTGTGACTCGTCAACGATGGCAACAGAGGATAAAGCGTATCATCTGGATTTGAATCTATTTGGCCTGCTATTCATTCAGCAACAGTGACCATAACACCACTTCCAATAATCAGCCGTCTGTCGAGCGAAAACATTTGGCAGACGCCATTCGCCTTTCGTTGGTTTTCATACTTGCCGGTGCTCATAGGAACCTCAAAGTGTGCTTTCTGTATATGGCCAAAAGTATTTCGTAGCCCATTTTGGTATTAGATCTCCTCTGTCTACATCGAAGAGCAACATCGCCAAATGAGGAAGTATCCGGGCACAACAACAGGGAATATTCACTTTCTCAGCGCTCTACTACAGTGGTATCGATCCGCTTTAGCAGAAAGAAATCTTGAGGGACCGTGTAATATGGATAAGAGTAGAGTACTCCGTCACACCAACGCGCTCGAATTTGTAACCATTTCGACTTCAACTTACTACAATATAGATTCATGCACCTCTCAGAGTTCTATTTCAGTGGTCTCGTTCCGCTTGAGCAGAAGGAAACCCTGAAGGACCATGCAATAGGGATAAGAGCCGAGTACTGTGTCATATTAACGCACTGAAATTTGTATCCATCTGGAGATCAGTTTACCACGATATAGTTCGGACCATTCGTTAACAACAGAATTAGATCGACTGGAACACACCTTGACATCTTATATCAGTTGCTAGTCTGATTTCAATCTTCTCTCAAGAAAACGATCCTCTAAGGCAATTAACCGTTTTCTACGACCTAAAATCTGAAATCGAATACCGAACATTGAACTGAATTAAATGAGAAGCAAATTGAGTAGTCCAATAAAAAAAAATTAAAAGAACAACTAGAAGAAATTTAAATAACAACAAGAACACTACAAATACTGGCTGAAATACCATTTTAAAATCGAACTGTTACCTAGAAAGCACGTGGAAGCATTCATTGTCAACTAACATGATAATCAGAAGTAGAGATACAGACGATTATTAAGATCAATATGGACGCGAAGGACATTAAAAATGTGAACCATTACCAAAGAGGCTTAAATTGCATGTTTTATATATTTTAAATAAATGAAAAGATAAGTATGAGACCTGGAAGCTAACTGTTTGGATTTGCATGCAATAATAAGTATATTATATGCTAATACCAGTGAAAAAATCTCCCACCACATAAAAAAGGAACAACGAAATGTTCTTAGCGCTCAATGAATATGAAAAATAAAAAGCGGGGACAATGCCTGAAGACCATAACTCTCGGTAAAAGAGGTCAATTATCACCTCTTTCATAAGAAATCTAAGCCAGATCCTTTGAAATTTTCCGATGCCATACACTCAATGTCCACTCGCTGCGCGTCGTCGTCTTCGTCGATTAAACCTTTCCATCCAACTCCTGAACCATATGCAAAGACGGTAAAAAAGAGATTTACAATAATGAATAAGTACCAAAAAGAATAACAACGTCCTAAGTTTTACTTAATACCTATTCTTTCCGTGTATCAAGAAAACAGTGGATAATTCTTTTTTTCATGGCAGGATATTACGTGAAATACAACCACAATGATGTTGAGATATCTGCAAACCTTGAGCTTCAGTAGAGTTCGAACCCGCCACCACCCTTTCCAAGCGCTAACGTGCTAACCACCACAGCAATCCAGGACTTTGCTTTGCCCTTCCCTCAACCAGTTTTCTACTCTAATAATGCTACCAGAAATCACCGTCAACGGGAACGTGCTGAGGATGCAGTCCAAAAACAATGTCATAACTTTTATTCACTGTCTATTCTTTTTTAATAGCAGAGTACGACGTAAGATACAACCACAAAGGGTCTCGGTTGGTGCATTGGACATGTGTGCACCATTGGGTAATCGCGAGTTCGAAGCCAAACTGAAGTTCCCGAATTTTGTTCATACCTCAGCAACCTTTTGGTTGTACCTGAAAAACGTTTTCAATTCTGTAAGAAATAAATTCGTAAGGACTAATTTCATTACTTTTTATCTACTACCTATTCCTTTTTCACGGCAGGGTATGAAGTGAAATACAACTGCAATGATGCTGAGATATTTGCAAAACTTCGGACCTCAGGTGTTTGCGACGGGACCTTCGTTACTGCCCTTTTCTGGGGTTAACGTGTTCACCACTACACCATGCGTGTCCTTCGTTTCGACTTTCTCTCACCCGTATTTTATAAGCGCCATCAGCAATCACCCGTCAACGGGATTGATCTTGGAACTAGCTCTAATGTCTCCAATTCTATACAATATCTAGCACTAGAAAGAACCAGTGAAATAACAACCGCTTCTGCCCAAGTTAATAAATAGATTTATACAAATAGTTACAACTTATACTGTTACAGCATACCTGTTCCTATGTTTGCATGCTTGCTATTTTAAAGCTTTTATTTCCTAGCAACGTTTTTTACACTACACCCTAACAAATGATTAACAATGACAATGGTGGGTGAACTAATTCACAAGATAAAAATTTCGTTTCTTTTGCCTTATGGACAAGACGTTAAAAGTAAAGTTGTAGATGCAACTTGAAATATCAGCAAAACATGGGCTGCTGAATCGTTCCCTAGGATGTACAGAGTTCTAAACGTTTCGTAGGGGAGATATGGAGCTTCATAAGAAAAGGTCGAAGGTGCGCAACAGCAGTTGACAACAGCTGCAAATCTCTAACCTAACAAAAACAGTCTATTTCTCGATTCTACTGGTTGAAAAATGTGGATCCCATATGGTAACCAACGTTGTTCCCGCAATACAGTCGAAAGTTCAGTTCACCAACAGAAGGCAGGGTGTTTCATGCTCTGCAGCTGGATTAATCCAAGAAAGAATTCACACATACTTATTCGGGCTCTACAAAACTTTCGAAGTTGTGGAAGTGACTAATTGCTTCGGTCACCATAACTACTATAATCAATTCGGGCGTAGTTCCACCAAAGATGAATCAGAACAAAAACTGTAAAGTTCAACTTGGTACCTGGTAAATTATGAGACAAGTCCTTAATTAAACTAGATTAAGTAAACCAATACCAGGATTCACCACCGCCCTGGTATCGAAGACACAAGGTGGTAAATATCCCTCTGATCCACAAGGGATGCGATTGCCTGTCGTGGTGACGCCATGAGGCAGACTTTGGCCAGCGTGTCCTTGGGACTCCTGGGAACCACAATGGCTTAACCAGCAAATCTCCGAAAAATGGAGATTATGCTGGGTCCCGCATAACTAGTGATACGGCCCGTTCAAGTATCAGTATCAAGTAATAATGAATGATCACCTGTCACCTGTATCACCTATAGTCCCGTTGATCGAGTGACTCGAGCGGGCGCCAGTAAATCGTCTATTTCTCCCTAGGGACTCGTCGAGCATCATATCTTTCTTCAAGGCGCTTTCTGAAGAACCCCGACCATCGGGTCGGTGTTCTTCCTGCAGTACGTTTGACATCCCGAGGAATTCAATCACTAACGGCTCCTGTTCATCGGTTGTCATTCATACGCAATATGTGACCGGCCCGCCTAATCTTCGACTGTTTGGCGTACGGAATGGCACCTTTGCTTTTCGATCGTTGACGCAGATCGGAGCTTCGGATCTCGTCTCTTCCTTGTGTGGAACGGGATACTCCTAGCAACGTCATTTTGACTGCGCGTTCGATAACGCTGAGTGACCTTCCATCCTGCTTACGCAGCGACCAGGTTTTTGACGCATGCGTTAGAGCAGGAAGAACCGTTGAGTAGAAAAGGTGGGCACGGAGTCGGGTGTTCTTTGTTATCTTCACTACATCCTCGATACTCTTCAAAGCTCCCCAGGCCGCTCGTTTCCTTCTGCTCAGCTCTGAAACTACGTCGCTCATCATATTGTCTTCCCGACATAAATAGATATAACTGGAGCATTCGGAGATATTCGTTCCGTTGAGTGGGAATGGGGCATACGAAACCAATCCGTTCCTCATGAAGATCATTTTTGTGAGATTTAGTCGAAGACTAATCTTTCCATAGGTTTTATCAAAGTAGGCAAGCATACGTTCTGCTTGGCTAATGTTTGGTGTTATAAGGACGATCTCATCAGCAAAGCGAAGATGGTGAAGTTGCCGACCGTCGATTTTCACTCCCATATTAACCTATTTCAATGTTCGCATGACGTTCTGGAGGGTGGCGGTAAATAATTTTGTCGAGATGGTATCGCCTTACCTAATTCCTCTTTTGACGTCAAAGTTAATATCGTTGTAGAATGGTGATATAATGGTTGTGAAATTTTTGTACAGCTCACGAACAATCTTTATGTACTGAGTATGGACTCCTTGACTATCAAGGGTTTCCCAGACTGCTTCCATCTCAGCTGAATCAAAGGCCTTCTGTAAATCGATGAAAGTGAGACAGAGCGGTCTTCTGTACTCTCGCGATACTTCAATGAGCCGTGCTACCGTATGGATGTGGTCCATTGTACTAAATCCTCTTAGTGAAAAGTTTGTAGATGACAAACAGTAAGCAGATGGGGCGATAGTTGCCGATATCGTGCAGGTCACCCTTCTTGAACAATAACACGGTGTTGCTGGTCTCCCATTGGGTTGGAACCTTACATCCAGACAGGTAACGTGTGAAGACGAGAACTGGCAGAAGGTTCTTCAGGTGTTCTGATCTTATCCTGTCCGGACATGGCGCTGTTCGATTTTTCCCCGAGGAAACGGCATATCGGATTTTGGAAGGGAGAACCGCTCGTACAAAAAATCCATTCTCCTTTATTTCATAAAACGGAAGATGGACGAGGCTTTCGAAAAGATCTTAGTGGTACCTGTAAATGATTTTCGCCATTACCTTTCTGGACGGTGCAACTGTTCCGTCTGGGCGTCGGAATGCAAACATCGTGGTCTCGTAACTGGCGAAGCCTCGGTGGACTTTGCGAATGCTTTTCCCAGCCTCGGCTGCTTCGGCCATTACTGCTGCTCTTCTCTCTCTAAGATCTTCTTTTATCGCCTCTCTGCATTGCTTTGCAAGTTCGGATGTTAGTTCGCGGTTACCTGCAGCTGGTACAACTCTGCGCTGGCGTATCAGCTCGAGTGTTTCTGGAGACAAACATCTCTTTGTGGCTTTCGACCTCTCAGCTTTCGTAGCGCTAACGTGAAGATGTTGAATGAGCCGATCGTATTCTTCGTCGATGTTATCGACAACGGCATCTTCTCAACAGCCGACTAATGAATTGAATAAATCCCAGTTTACGGTGGTTCTGGGACTTCGGTTTCGGAATTTAACGGCTTTCTTTCCATTCCGCGAGAAACAGAATCGTGCACGAAGGCGACGATGGTCTGATCCCGTGTAGAATTTTGGAACAACAGCGAAATCGGTTAGGCAAACCCTTCTATTTGCTATGATGTAGTCTATTTCGTTATAGTCTCCACTGGGAGGCTCCCACGCCCAGCGCTGAGGGTGGGGCTCATGGAATTGCGACTTACCATTGATGGTCTTGGTCGTCATGATAGACTCAGACAGCTGCTCACCCTGTCCGTTCCATTGTAATACGTGAGTCCCAATGTGACGTTCTTCAGGCGTTCTTCTTGGTCCAGTCTTGACGTTGAAGTCTTCAATAGAATAGAATACCTTGAGGAATGTATGGTCTTGTCTGTAAAACTTCTCCAAATCCATATAGAACGCTTCGACTTCTTCGTCATAGTTTGATGTCGGCCCGTAAACGACGAAGATTGTCGAAGCCGGTATTGATCCACATCTTTTTAATCGTAAACTTCCGATTCGGGTTGTTAGTTGCTCGAATGAATCAATTTTCATGGACAAACTCCTGTTGACGAGAACGCCGACACTGCCTACTCCTCTACTGTCGCGTGTTCCGAGGAATAGTTGTTCTCCGGTGTCATAAACGGTGTTGAATGGGTGGCGTCGTCTGGTCTCGGCTAGGCCGATGACGTCGTGCGTTAGACTTCTCGCTTGCATGAGCAAGCCTTCTATCGAGGACTCGGATGCAAGTGTTCGTGCATTGTAGGTACAGATCGTCACCTTAGTTCTTTGCTATCCAGGCAGCTTCCATTGGCCCTGTGATTTTAGCAGCCTCTCCGTACTCGTCCCACCCAACGCTGCCGATTTGGGGGCTCTTTCGGGGTCAGGGGAATGGAGCCCGTTTTTTTCTACTGCGTTTAGCATTTCTGATACCCACGTATAGCTTGCTGGGCTCTGAACGTGGGGGCTGGGTATACTCATGGGTAGCTTGCCAGGCTCTCCCAGAGCGGACATGGAGCCCGATTTATTTGTTGGAGGCGACTCCTAACCGCCTCCCATATACTTCCAGTCACTTGATTGCAGATTTTTGGCCGAACTGACTCGTAGAATACAATCCGCATAAACAAGAACGCACCCACACACGCATGCATGAATATGCCTATCAAATACAGAAAGTATGTGCCAAATTAGAGCAGCAGAAATAGCGAGTCCATCCTCTGGATCCACCTGCATCTCAGGGAAGCAATGGTCACTTTTCGTCCGCGATTAACCCCCTATCCACCACCTGGGGACGCGCCACGTAGGCTCGCGACTAACCGGCTCGAGACCCCTCATATGAGGGAGATCCGTAGCGTAATGATAATAATACGAAGACGAATTCCTCCTCATATAAAAGTCAAAATAATGCAAAGTGGAAATTTTCAAAAAAAAACCGAAAAAACCTTATTGGAATTCATTAAAATAACGAAATAACTTGCATGAAACAACACCACATCTGGCGTTTACGTTCTCTTTCACGGAACTTTTGTGTATAAACCTCGGCTACCACATCACCAGGCATTTGTGAGAACTGCATTTGCGACAAGTCCTCTTCCTGAAATGAAATTCACAATTATAAGTTAGAATAGGGCTAATTAAGCACAAAATGGGAAAGATAACCAAAACGTAGGTCATATTTGAGTTCCTTTGAGCCTAAACGAAACGAATGTGAGAAACTGAGCCTAAATCACGGAAACTTAAACGATTTCTACAACTTTTAAACATTTTGACCACATGTCTGGAAATTACTCTGAAAAATTTATTTATGTGATCTTATAAACTGATCTTCTTAAGCTGACGCGAGGTTGGTACAGATCTTCGTTGTCGTTGTCGTTGTCGTTCTTTTTGATGTTATTGATCGATGGCTGACGTTTCGGCGAATTCGCCTTCCTCAGAGCCTGGACGTACTTTATGTTAGAATACTTTTTATTATTCGGTGGAAAAGAAGGTTAAAGTATTAATGAAGATCAAACTTTCAAATAGACGCCATATTGAACAGAAAGGTCACTCACCGTGATGTTATGGCAATATGGCGTCTATTTGAAAGTTTGATCTTCATTAATACTTTAACCTTCTTTTCCAGCGAATAATAAAAAGTATTCTAACATAAAGTACCTCCAGGCTCTGAGGAAGGCGAAGTCACCGAAACGTCAACCATCGTTCAATAACATCAAAAACAACGACAACGACAACGAAGATCTGTACCAACCTCGCGTCAGCTTAAGAAGATCAGTTTATAAGATCACATAAATAAATATATCAACTATTTATGCCGAGGTTCATAGAAAGTCGGTCTTTCGAGTTACTCTGAAAAAGAAAAACCCACCCCATTAAATGATTCTCAGCCTCAATCAACTTTCTCAACAACGAACTCACCTTGATTGAAGCAAGTTTATCTACCAGTACACTCATTGTGGAACTATTCGGGTCACAATGTGAAACAGCACAAGTCACCTAAACCATAACAATGCAATATTGATGGAATCTACAAGCACTACACCGAAGTGTTAAAGTGTTATAACTTTACCATTTCATGTTATACGAGTCTAGATGATGGTACACTTTCTGCAAATATGTAATACCTGCAGTGTAAAACATTGGTACCATTAAAATTAGTCATAACTCAACGTGAACGACGTTTCGTCACGTTCATATAGCTCACTACTGCCTCATCTACAGAATTCATTCCTGACTTTAACCAATGAAAGACAGAATGACATGCTCGTTGTATCATATCCTTCCCTTATGTCTTTTTCCTTCCGTTTATATTGCATTAAGTAGTTCGGGAAAGAAGGCAAGAATTGCGATTTTATTTTTCTTGTATATGTTTCAAAGATAATTTTCCTTCGAATGCCATACTATTACATAGCATTACAAAGTTCAATTTGTGCCATTTTGCTCCGCATAATTAAGCTATAATAGAAATGGTAAGCTTAACAAGTTTAACAGGTTAGTAATTGAGATGTCAAAACAGCAAAATCGTCAAATTTATTTCTATGAGCTCGTACTCGGTTGAATACAGAGCAAACGGCTTGAAACACTAATGTGGTATGGCCCTAGGAATTGTTAACGAACCCACAGGGTGATGTCGAGTTGGAAAATTCCATCCTGGACAATTTGACCACGAAGGTCGCGGACGTCCTTCTCCCATCGACGCCGATGAAGCCAGAGTGGAAGAAAACAGATAGACAACAGCTCGAAAAGTTGCGGAAGAACTTCATGTAAACACTTCAACTGTTTCAGTACATTTAAAGAAAATTGAGTGGGCGAGCGAACTGGACAAATAGAAGCCGTATGAATTAGCAACACTTCGCGCCACTAACGCTGGAGATGCTGAACGAACTGTCCGACGAAACTCCCTCATCCACCACACTTGCCAGACGTTTCCCCTATCAACTATTACTTCTTCAAGCATCCTAAAAACCTTCTGTGCGAAAAGCACTTTGGAAACAACGTCGAGACCAAAACTGCCTTTGGTGACTTCATCGCCTCGTGAATTCCAGGGTTCTGCCCAACCCGAATAGAAAAAGTGTTTCTTGTAGGCAAAAATATGTTCGTTCTCATGACACTTAATTCAATTAATAAAGCTTATTCGGATATATGTGATATGCGATTTTAAAGAATGTAGGTTAAAGTCCTACATTAATTTTGGAACAATCTAATACTTCACGATTGACCATTATTTGTCGGAGATGAAATACCTGAAACAGATGATCACGATCCAGTGTATTGGCCGAACGGGCAACAAATTGTTCGCATCGTGCCACCACTGGTTTCATGTCGAATCGAGAAGCAACACGCAAAATCAGAGACACATTCATGACTAAAACTATCATTCAAAATACAAAATAGAAAAGGATAAAGGATAAAGCTCTCGGCGTTTATCAATCCCTGAGAGATGCACCATTCATTCGACTTCATTAAGTATTATTGGAGGTGAGTGAATACATATCTGGCCTTTACAATGACTCGCGGTGGTCTACCTATGTATCGAGCCAGTGCTGCTCCCTCCCAAACAAATCAGGCATCAATTTGCCGATCCTGGAGGGATGGAAGGCATGGTGAGCTATGGGCGCGTGGAACGATTCCACGTGTGTGTCGCAATAGCGCCTCCAACCACTACACCACACGCACCCTTTCAAAAATACAAAATACAAATTGCTGGCAAAAATGAACAAATGCGTAGAGCAGCTTGTTGTAAAAGGATAGATGTATGTATGAGAAGACACGCTGTCAACTACATTCAAGAGCAGAGCCACAAGTTTTCCTGCTCATTAACAAAAATACAAAAACAAATAGTGCACTGTAATTAAAAACTGGGAGAAAACAAGAATAGGAAAAAAAACTCCAACACCACCCAATCATTAAATCGAAATGCGACAGTGCAACGCTCTTAGACTCAACAACAAAGAGACTTAGCTTTTCAACATCACAAAAGTCTAAAAGTTACCTGAGATTGGTTTTCGCATGGGACAGAAGAATATGCAGCGAAAGAACTCCAGCATATCAGACGGTTTGATATCATCGATGATCAGTGAACGGTGGGCCGTCTCGCCGAAGCAGTAGTCTGCGAAAAACGGCGACAGCTCTGCCAACCAACCAGCATTTACAAAGCTACAACGGCTACCGTTTAAACCGAGAACGAAGTCAAACACAATTTTTTAAAACTGTAACAGACCAATTCGTAAAGAACTTTCTCGTTCTGGTTAAAAACTAACAAAATTTGTTGGCGACACGTCGCCTACCACTTCCTCTAAAAGTGTTCTAGTACATAACAGCATGTTGCAGTAGCAATTTATAATTGCACAGGGCTACTATAATTACTCTAACATTCCCAATATCCTACTGAATAAGGTCAAAGTCACAAGAATCAACACTTCCTAAAACAATTATAGTTCTACAAACGTCATGTAACACTCAGAACTGCCATTACAACTAAGTGCTTGTGTCATAATAAGCATGAATAAAGACGAATAAGGCTCTCAAATCCTGAGGAATACGCCATGCATTCGACTTCATTAATGAACGTTTGGAGGTTAATGCATGCATATCTGCCTTTACAGTGACTCACGATGGTCTACCGATGTATCGAGTTAATGCTGCTATCCTCCCAGACAAGTCTACTACCAATCTGCCGAACCCGGAGAGATGGAAGGTTTGGCGGGTCAGGGACACGGAGATTGATCCCATATACATTGCAGGGCGCCCCCGACCACTGGGCCACACTCTATTATAATAAGCATATCTTGGCAATAACGTACATATGATGAAATAGCACTGAAATTATTTATATTCGTAGGACCCATAACAAAATGTATAAATCTTGAAGTCAAGCAGACCCACAAAGAACGATCCTCTACAATGATTTCGAAACTGCGCGACGGTGTTGGACTCGCAAAGTCATCGTACGAGGACTTTGACACAACAATGTCTTCGTTCATACCACCGAAAACAGCGATCAGCGGCTTCACCGAGCCCTAAAAATATCACAATACATACTTTACTTATATTAGTGAAGTAAACGAGATTAAAGAACACTGCTGCATGAAAGAATCCAATTGAATCTCTGAAAAATCAAACACTTTAACACATTATACCTTGTTCATTTACTTAAAACATAACCTTTGTATGGAAAGAAACATAAGAACATCATATTTTCCATAGCAGAAGAGAAAACGAAAGGAAATTTTTCTCTTAAGTTTTCAGCACGGCTCTGGCATGCACTAAGAGATGCGCAAAACCTCGGCAGATTACTAGGAGAGCACCAGAACTCAACGACGCTGTTATCCTACACTAAAAACAGTTTGAAATATTATAACAAATGTAAAAGTCATATTAGCAAGCCCCATCCGAACGATGTAAAAAGAAAAAATAAATAAATCGTATCGAAACCGAATCGAGTACGTAGTATTTCGCAACTATCGGTACATATAACATAAAGCTCTACGGCAGACTTTGGCCAAGATGACCTCTGGACTCCAGGAAGACACAATGGCTAAACCAGCAAAACTCCGAGAAAGTGGAAATTGTGCTGGAGCCCGCACAACCACGGTGAAAATGGGCCATCCAAGTATTCAAATATCCAAGTAGCATAAAGCTCACTAACATATGAATAAAGCTCTATATGTGGACTTTTTGTTACTTTATACTTTTCTTAGTTACCAGTTTCTGTACTGAACAAGCGTCAGACGTTAAGACGTTGTGCTGAACTAGCCAACCCATAGAGTTCGACTTCACCACATAGAGGATCTCTCCTGAGAATCAGAACATTTTTGCAAAACTCTGGACCGCAGGTGTCTATGGTGGGGAACGAACGCGCTATTGTCCTTTCCGGGGTGTAACGCGTTCACCACCACACCATGCGGGTCCTTCGTTTCGCCTATCTCTCAGCTATTTCTATCAATCTTTGCCACACAAAAAAAGGTATAACATTGTGATTTCAACTACAGCCGCAGCTTAACTGGGTTCTATGCCGATTTGGGCGCTCGAGATCAATCCTGCTGACGGGTGATTGCTGTGGCAAAGATCGATAGAAATAGCTGAGAGACAGGCGAAACGAAGGACCCGCATGGTGTGGTGGTGAACGCGTTACTCTCCGGAAAGGACAATAGCGCGTTCGTTCCCCACCATAGACACCTGCGGTCCAGAGTTTTGCAAATATCTCAGCAACGTTGTGGTTGTATTTCGCTTAGTGCCCTGCCGCGAAATTATAGTAGACAGAAAATAAAAAAGGTATAACAATCAGAACATTAGTTTAACAGACGACATTCGAACAGCTTAAGTTCGAACAAGTAGTAAAGTGGAGTTAAGGTTTCTTGTTAATGCTACTGGTGTTAGATCCCCATAAGATCTTTCAATTAGTGCTCAGGAAAACCTCTCATACTCTCCTGCCAGTTGGGAAGTACTTGATTGTCCCTGTAATTAAGATAACAGGATGTGCAACAGTATGTGTGCGGTCTCTGGATTGAATTACTATTTAGTCATGCTTGAGCTGCAATTGAAGCTAAATTCATTACTATATTGCTATACAAAGTTTCAAATAAAACACTATAACGATAAGCGATGGTATCTTAAGCAAGGTATTAAATTCCAACATGGATTAACACATCCGTTTACGCCTACAGTAGATAAAAGGATTAAAAAAGGATAAAGCGATAAAGCTCTCGTCGATGATTTATCCTAGCATCGTTTGGAGGTGACTGAATGTACATCTGACTTTTATAATGACTCGTGGTGGGCTACCTATATATCGAGCCAATGCTGCTATCCTCCTAGGCAAGTGTGATACCAATTTGCCGACCTCGGAGGGATGGAAAGCTTGCTCGGTCAGAGCGCGGGAATCGATCCCACGTGTATTGCAGGGCGCCTCCGACCACTGTGTCACACGCGCCCTTTACAACACAACTTTTCCATAAATGGATTATTTAACGAACTGTAGACATGGCATACTCATAAAAGAAACTTCATCCTCCAACCCAAGTTTTTTTTTAATTCAACAGAACATTAAAAGAAAGGCAAAGATTGGAGAAGAAACTCTAATAATAGCATACCAGGCGCCCGTATGAAAGATAGATCTACGGACAACATCGGATCCGGACAAGGATACTAATCCTACGAAATCCAGCTGACCGATCGCTTTACTGAGTCCTGACGACAGGAAGCGGAAAGAAAGAATGAATGAACAGCGAAAACCTACCATTTCAATACTTAAGGCTGTTTTTTCATCGGTGAAGTTTCCAATTAGCTGAAGGTGATTGAATGTTCACGGGCAGATAACTGTCTACCACACATAGGTCATATAATAGTTTAGAATTATTATAAGTTGTTAATATTCTGGATCTTAACATCGAATACAACGCTGTTCGTTAACGTCAATGCGGAAATCTTTTTCGTTTTTCAAATGGTCGCTAGCCGACATAACCTTGTAACAATTTCCTAATACTACCAGTTGACCTCCCAACGGTTTACCGCCTCATTGTGGCTGGGAGGTGTTCCTGGGTGTCGGGTTGCGATGTACAATGGGGGGAATTCATCCCTCGGTAAGGCCTCCCAAGCTGAAGAGGAGTCCAGCGTTTCCATCGGGAAGCCCAGCTAAGAATAAGTCGATACTAGGATCTACCACCGTCTTGGTATTAGAGTCGCATGGTGGTAAATCTCCCTCTGATCCACAAGGCCTGCGACTGCCTGTCATGGGGACGACCTGAGGCTGACTTTGGCCAGGCTGACCTCGGGACTCCAGCGAATCACAATGGATAAACAAGCAAAACCCCGAAGATGGAGATTTTGCTGGGGCCCGAATAATCAGTGAGGACGGGACATCCAAGTATCCAAGTAAGTAAGTACCAGGTGATACATCACATGGAAAGTCATGAAGTAAATTACAAGTATAGATACATTCAATTAATGTAATATTAATGTAAACATAAAATGTAATGTAATGTAAACATACGAATAAAAACTAAACCAACCGCCATGCCAGTGTGTCAGCAGACAAATGCGGAAGGAATGAGTAGAGTAAGGAGTGATAACTAACCAAAATGAAGTGATTGCAATGATTCCTGTCTAACATGAAATGTTTACGAGTAAGTTACAAGTTAGAATAACCTTAACAGATTATCAACAAGAAGAAATGAGTAGGAAGGTCAGGAGAGGTGAAACAACTTGTCAGGTCACCGGAAATACTGCCGCGTTGTTCAATGGGAACCCGCCACTGACGTTGTTTCGACTGTAAACACACAAAATCCACCTGATTTGTCATACGGAAAGGCGATCGCCATGCGCACGTTCTTGTGACAATATGCATTGATTTCAACGCAAACTTGGTAGATTTCGTGCAATATCCGTTAGTTTGAGTGCATTTTCCGCTCGACTGTTTCTTTAATGCGTAGATTTCACTTCGGGTACTTTTCTGTACCAAATCTATAACTTCATCAACACCAATGTTGTACAAGTCGTCGTCCAAGGAAAGATATTTTCTACCCATTACAAGAAGATAAAACATTTCCTAAAGCGATCTCATCATCAAGTTATTGTTAACTACGCATGAATGCTCTGCAGTGATTGAGTCAATAAGAACAAAATGGATGGAATCTGAACGTCTTCGGATTACGGTGAAAACCCCAACCACTTATGATAAGGCAGAATTTGTAAAAGGAGAAGAAAAATGAGGAAGAAATACGGCAGAGTTGGGAGAATTTCATTGCAATATTGCATTATTGTGTCCCAACGGACTCAGAATGTGTGGGTGGACTCACTGATAACCAACACTTGGAAGACGAAGTGAGTTCTATTTACAGATGGGAAGGAGGTGCGCGTCTATCGCAATGGTTATCGATATCACGCAATACACACATGGTCACTGGTTCGGTTCCGTGTTATTGTAAATTATTTCCTCAATCTTTCCAATGTCAATGGATTGGTGCCAGGCTTGTCTGGGAGGATAAAAACACGAATTTGATAATCGTCTTCATCAGAGCCGACGATCTGAGTCAGTGGTCCATAGTCACTTGTCTTCTCGATGTGAGGCCTTTGTTGTCGTATCGAGTTCGATCTTCTTCAGACTACGGGCCAAATATACATACATTGACCTTTGAGATTTTTCATAAACTCGAGTGCTTTGAGCATTCCTAAAGCATTAATCATTGCTGAAATCTCTGTTCCTCTCATGGACAGTTGTCGGATGGCATGAATTGATTCCAATTCATTGCGCTTGCGTCGATTACATGTGGCGGCCATACGAAATTAGGGGAGAGGATTGAAGTTGTTAAATAGATAAGATTTCTGGAGGGAATCCAACTCTAGTTGAAGAAGTGATATAAGGAATGTCCAAGCACAAAAGCTTCGCCAGGTTTGCTATGGGAAACAGACCAAGACGAAGTATGGCAGAATGGAAAGATTTTTCTTATGCAAATGAATCTATTTCTTTTAATTGCCGATTGCAAAACAGTAGAACACTAGCGTTGAATGACTTCTACTAATGCTACATGATATGATGGGTACATAAGAATGGCAGTACTATGCGATTTCTCACGTAATGGTCTACTCCTAAGCAGCTCTTCCACAACGCTCGAAGAATAAAGAATATCTTTGTAAACAATGCCCTAATTTTAGTTTTTAGCAGCCATGAAAATGCACAGAAACAAACATGTTAATGGGGTTTGAAACTACTGTACGTGATTGGGCGGCTTCATCGTACACGTAGTATTAACGTCTAGAAATTGTGAGAGAACCGATAACCAACTGCCATCGAATTGATCGTCAACTGGCTCAAGTGAACGTCAGCAAGGTCCTCTATTCGTCCTTGCCACGTATCAGGGTTGACTAATCGGTTCTGGTAGCTCGACGAACACAAAGAGCATCCTACTTTTCTTCCAAGGCCTTGGTAAAGTACAACATGCCGGATCCACTGTCTCCCTGTTGAGTGCGTGACATCTCGTGGTACCCAGTCGCTAATGCCTTTCTTAACCAGGTGTCGTGAAGATGGATCGTCCGCCGAACTTCTTTTCCACAACCCGTACAAGGTTGTTATTACACTCTTTATTAACAGAAGCTGGTTTCGGCGGATTTCGCCTTCTTCAGAGCATGGAGCGGCTAAGTAGACTGCAATCTAGTCAACCAAATACCTCCATAAGCCCGACAGAAAAACTACGAAACCCAGATTTCAATCGCACTGAAGAGAGAATGGTTGACAAGATTGCAGTGAACTTGATCTTTCCAGACTCTGAAGAAGGCAAAATCCTCCAAAACGTCAGCATTTATTAATAAATAGTTTAGTAACAACCTCATGTTTACTTAGCAAGGAAAATAGCAATTTTTTTTCACTGATCAATGACGAAGTTAGTAGAAAGTCGATCCTCGGAATTACTATATGGTTTTCGGCATTTCGGCTACGGGACTACCTCTCTGACTCTTAATCTTCAGTATAGTTGGGAACTTAGGATTCGCTCTTTCACTGGTGTGATACGAAATGCTGCTAGCTTTTTGCCTTCAATCACACTTTCTACAACATCGATCGTTTCTTCAAACTTCAAAGCAGCGTTCAGGTTTCCAACGGTTAAATTAAAGCACGCAGAATGGTGAAGACGAAGACCTGGATGTGGAGCCGGGTGTTTTTTAGCTTTTTGACTACATACTCGATACTTTTGTGAGCTCTGCTGGACGCTCGTTATCTTTGGTTCAACTTTGAAGTGGAATCCTACATCACCTTGACTTCTTCCTATTCAGGTGAAGCATTCAGCCACACTCGTTCCTTTGAACATCAACTGAACTTCTGACCAGACACTAACATTACTGTGCGATATTCATGGAACCGTTAAGAAGACATAGGCGTTTGTTAACCCTTAGCGCCTGAAGCTGGTTTTTCACAAAGCGCTAATTTTTCGATAACTTGAATGGCTACGAAGTTGATTACGTGATCCGCTCATGGAAGAGACTTTGTTCTATCTATTTCGGAGTAAGCACGGTTCTCTAAAGAGAAGATTCATGTTTTGAATTTGATTAGAACTAAAATTCCCCAAAGAAACGGAAATGCGGTTTGAAGTTTCAAAATACAAACAAAATTTCAGAAGTCGTAAATATCAACAACACATTGGGAAGCACCATCGTTTTCTAATTTACAAAATATCGATTGTTCACTTCCTTTTGCTTTCGAAATACGACCCTCGAAGAAGTAACAAGTGCACAAAATACACCTAATGGGCTCCAGGAAATCAGAATTAGATCGTGGTAAAGCCTTTGACTTGTAGACGAACATTTTTAGACTGCAGTATTTTTAATTGTGAATTAATTTTGAGGTGAGATATGTCGATTTAAAGCTGTAAACGGCCGATATATTCACAACGTGTGAGTGGATATCAACTCACGCCGACCCCTAAGGGTTACTCTGCATTCGTATCAAAACGTATCATTATGGAAGAGAAGGGCGTAAACTAAGAGTAAAATTGTTTTTGAGTACGTGAATGAAAATGTTACAGAGAGGAATGGACACAGAAGAATGTAAATTTGTAAGAGTAAAATGAGAAGGTGCGGATAGTACAATGGTAGTGATGCCCGTCATTACGAGCACGGTGCCGATTTGATCCCGCACCGCTCTCACCAAGCCTCTCATTGATCAGGGATAGTGAAATTGGTACCGGACTTATCTGAGGAGAAATCGCTCTCTGTAGTCCAACTGGGAACGCTCTAGTCCGACTATATCAGGACTACAGTGAGAATCGGCCCTACAACAATTCTATGACACTTACGACAAGATGAAACGAAAAATCCTGAAGCAGCAGCCTAAAGCACACGTAAAATTTGGTAGACCCTCATGGATGATGGACGCGAGGAAACGAATCGAGTGTTGGAACTGTTTGGATGAAGGGACGCACAGTAGACGTGAAGACGGATCGTATAAAATATAAAATAAAAAAAAGGATGAAGGATTAACGAAGAAGCTCTCGGCGTTGATCAAACCCTGAGGGATGTGCCACACATTCGACTTCATTAAGCATCGTTGTAGGTGCTTGGATGCACATCTGGTCTTCAGAACGACTCGCGGTGGCCTGCCGATATATCAACCCAGTGCTGTTATCCTACCAGACTGGTCTGACACAAATTTGCCGACCCTGGCGCGATGGAGAGCTGAGTGGACCTGAGGGGCGGGATCGGTCCCATGTGTATTGCACGGCGCATCTACCCACTGCGCTAGAGAGGCCACCCTTAGTGACAATAATAAGTGAAAACGTATGCACCATTTCCGAAATCTCCAAATTACAAACATAAAATTTAACGCAAAAATTTGGGGCTATATGAAATATATATATATGAAACCTACATTATCTCTGATTATACTACATGGAAAATGTTTTTATGGAGATCGTGTAAGAGTTCATGGTCACTGACACTAGAAATTCCTTTAACATATAGACCTTCAATAAGGGAAATATGTACCAACCTTTAAAGCAGCACGCTTCCCATAGATAAAAATACCTCACTTATACCACTACTTAGCTCAGAGTGACTCCAATAAATACTAGTTAAGGGCTTAATTTTCAGACACTGTCGATGTGTAGTATACGCAGCTACATGCGACACACCAAACTTGACGCGTGGCCACGTTGCGTAGCCAATTCGATCGACCCTGTCCGATAGGGGCATTCCTATCTCGTTTTCGTTCGAAGCCGTTGAGCTGTTCAGGATTCCGGATGTCCTTCTATGAAGAAGCTGGTTCTAGCGCTGTAGGCATCGACCATCGACGAAAATGGGATCAGGTTGGTTTGCTTAGTGTAGAATTGATGACTTTTAGGAATATTTCTACATTCAGTCTCTTTTTCATTCTGATTGTCTTCCATGTAGTTCGGCAGTTCTCACAGTAGTGTCACAAAGTGGTCGTTGGTAGCTTTTGTTGAGTAGCAACTAATCATCTTTGTAGGAGGATTTCGAGAAAAAAGCCTTGGAGCGTTTAAAAGCGGAGAAATTGGAACAGGCAATAAAAAGTGGTCAAAAGCCAAAAGAAGAACCTAAGGTAAAACGAGAAATGTTGAAGGCCAGAGATTATAAGGTGGGTGTTGTCCTTTATTTCTGAGTTTAGTCGGTTCATTGTTCTGCATTAGGGTTAACAGACTAATGAAACATAGAATTCTGAGTTTGAATGCTAGTTACTTTTTCCTTTGTTTTATGGTGGTTTATGATATTTCAAAGAAGTATTATTCTTCATAATTGCAGTGAGTTGACTACGTATCACTTTTTCTGTGCCATATCATTTAAGGCCTATGAATGCCTGGTAGATTGTGTAGCTTAAAACCTGCTAACGTTTGAACCCACATAGTAAATATGGTTGAGGTTTCGTTTATAGTTTGTTCAGGAAGGAAATTAACTGAGTATTTATTGTATTGGTTGCGATAGCTGTTCCACAACAAATTAGTTTGAAAAGTTTTTATTCCAGGTTGATCTGGAATCTAAACTCGGCCGTTCAGTGGTTATCAACAAAACAACTCCTGCAGCTGAAACTGGTGGATATTACTGTGATGTGTGCGATTGTGTAGTCAAAGATTCCATCAATTTTCTTGACCACATCAATGGTAAAAACCACCAAAGGTGCGTTTTACAGACCAGACTATTAAGCTCATGTACATTTTTCCTGAATTTAAGGAATATGGGTATGTCTATGAAGATTAGAAGGAGTACATTGGAAGAGGTGAAAGAGCGGTTCAAGTTGAAGTTAGCTGAAAGTAAGTTCCTGCTCGTGGAGGTATCTTTGTTAACACCAACAGAAGTTCTACTTTCTATTGCTGGCATCCTTTGTAATTTTATGCTTTCTGGAAGTTTCTTTTTCTTATGTTAATTCTTATGTTTTGTATAGAGGAACAAGAGAAGAAACAAAAAAATTTGGAAGAAATACTGGGAGACGTCTGTGAAGAAGAAGCAAAAATGAACGATTATAAGAAGGTAATCATGTTCTAAAATCTTAAAGGCACTTTATAAACATTATCTGGTTAATTTATTCTACTAGTTTATTATTGCAAGCAAATCTCTCACCCCCCCTCCCAAATGGTTTGCCGCCTCATCGTGTCTGGGAGGTGTTCCTGGGTGTCGGACTGGTATCATAACGGAGGATTCATCCCGGGCAGGGTGTCCTAAGCTGAAAAATACGGCGTTTCTGCCATGAAGACTAGCCAAGAGTAAACCAATACTAGGATCCACCACCGTTCTGGTATTGAATTAGTCGCATGGTGGCAATCCTCCTCTGATCCACAAGGACGGCGACTGCCTGTGGTGGTGACGATCTGGAGCAGATTGGCCAGGTTGACCTCAGGACTCCAGAGAAACAATACTTAAACCAGCAAAACTTCGAAAAATGGATATTATGTTTGGGCCAGCGCAACCAATGAGAACGGGCCGTCCAAGTCTCCAAGTAAGTAGGTAATTATCACCGCACTTCCAGTTCCAGTCAACCTTCCGTTGCTATGTAGTATGAAATAGTTGTTGAATCTTTAAGGAAAAGAAAGCTGAACAAAGGAAACGAAAGCTGATTGAATCCGCTCCAGACGAAGGGATTGATCCTGAACTTCAATCAATGATGGGATTCGGCGGATTTGGGACAACTAAGAAGAAGTGAAAGGAATTTATTTAATGTTTGTGCTAGTAGTAATAGCGGTACTATGATCTGAAATGTTCCTTTTTCGCGTGTAAATTATGGCTTTTAATGAATGATGCGAATTCCAACCCTTTGTTGCTTTTACTTTTATCCACGTGTTTTTCGCAAAGCGTACTTGTTGTTTTCTTGTTTTTCTTACCGTAACTTTGTGTTTAGTACTTTGTTAGTAGTAGAGGCTTGTTTGAATACTAACAGGTTCGGGTAATCTAAACATGTAAAGTACAGATCTCACCATGGTGGCAAAATGGTTGGTCATTGTAGCTTGCATCTTTTCTGTCATTACACTATGCTTTGCAGCCCAAGTGATATCACTTGACGAGAAGGTGTTACTTGTGATTCTCTTCCCAGTCTTAATAATTTCTAGTGGAGTGTGGTTTAGGTGAAAGCCCTACAAGATCTTCTTTTTCGTCAGCCTGCTGTAAGAATGAACATGGATCGCTGGAGAACTTATGTTCGACAGCAGCCTCGTAACTACAGCATGTTTGTGATGTTCACCGCTTTGTCCCCAGGTATCAATTGTCCGATCTGCAGGTTTGCGCTGCTGTTTGGTTTGTTTTAGTGTTTTTAAAGGAATATACTTACCCATAGTTTTCGTACTGGCTAGTATAAAACTTGATCTCGTTTCTGTCAATCTTCACATTTGTTTCAAGGCCAGCTTATGAGGAGTTTATGATCATGGCAAATTCTTATCGCTATGCCCATTCCGAACTGAAACAAGTGTACTTTGGAGTGGTTGATTATGAAGAAGCACCTCAAATCTTTCAGTCGGTTCGTTCATTGCTGGAATGTCAAAAGCAAGAAATGTATTCAAGTAGTGCAAAAAGTTTCATTCAGATGAACCTTAACACTGCACCAATACTCTACCATTTTGGACCAAAACTCATGGGGAAAAAGAAGCCAGACCAGATGGACTTTCAACGTCATGGATTCGATGCGGATGCAATGGCACGGTTTGTTGTAGAACACACGGACGTACATGTAAGGGATTTGAGTCCTTTTTTTGCAGACATTTTATCATTTGAACTACACTTGGTTCTTCTCATCTCATATAAAAACTTTAGATACGCATCTTACGCCCTCCAAATTATGCGGCGCCAGTCGTCATAGTGCTACTATTAGCCCTAGTGCTTGGATTACTTTATCTGAAAAGGAACAACCTGGAATTTCTGTATAACCGTACAAGCTGGGGACTCATATGCTTGGTGAGTGTCTCGTTTAAATGTATGTTTTTTTCCACAGAGTTTGCGGAAGGTGCTTGTCCTGCACTTCGCGCAACTTTTTTATTCACAAGACTGTTTTTCGTAGAAAAAGAAGCCTACGATTTATTAATAGATGTTTGGAATCCAGAGAAGAATTAGCCACTGAAGGATGTGAATATGACCCAGTTTCTTGCAAAACGTAAGAATAAGTGTGTCGAAATTTCAAGGTCGGTAGAAATTTAGCTCTACCCTATGGGTGTTCATCTGGTATCATGCATTAGAGTACTAACAATGTCACCAACTCTTGTAAAATTAGCAAGCTTTTGACGAATGAGCATTTCTGTTTAGAAGTCCGTTGACAATTCATATTTCTTGTTGGATTAGAATGAACAACTTTCGAGATTCCCTTATATTCTCCAGACATCAACCTACTTTTCATCAGTACCAAACAAAGGATTGTTATTTTCCATGGATCAATCTTTGATCTCTTGTGTATTTCCTGATTTCCATCTGCGAAAAGAATTTTTCTTTTTATTAGGATCGTTTTTAGCGACCTATGAAGCATTTATTTGATGTCAAAGTTCTGTGTAGTTACTGCTTGTGATCCTATTTCCACTATTTTCATTATGTACTATCTGGGATTTCAAAAACGATGCACACCTGAACCATTGTAGATTATACTCTCCCGCTATTCAGATCTATAAGGCCGTTGTCTGAATACTTTTCGGTTGTAATATGAATTTAGACTTCAATGATGCTGAGATATTTGCAAAACTCCGGACCGCAGGTGTATGCGGTGGGGAAGAAAGGTGTTTTAAAAAAATTGAAGTTATATTTTACAATGTGTACTTTGCCGTTAGAAAGAGTAGGCAGTAAATAATAAGTTAAAATTGAATTTAGACTTTACCTCCTAACAAATATGTAAAATTACAAATTGGAATTCGGACTAATCTCACAACTCTTTGAAACTATGAAATAGAATAAGTCAACGTTTTATTCTTGACCAGATTCGAGGTTGCAACTAGCGGTATCTATTCAATACTGTCTGAATTTTCAGCAGTCATCGCCTTCTTCGGACTCAACGAAGATGAAATTGCTGCGCAATATACTTAGCCTAACACTTTCGTAACCCATTCAGAAAAACCAATTACATAAATTTCATTTGTTTACTAAACAGTTTCCTTTAAATGATCACCACTTTGTTCTTTATAAGTCTTCCAGTTATTGTTGGAGACCACTCGCACAGAGTCTTACTAGGCTTAGGCAAGGAATGTGCCCGGCTTAGGTCAAAAAATCGGTCTGAGTTTATTGCGCATAATTACACGTGCTCACAAATCGCTTTTTCATGCGGTTCATTTTTAGATTCTTGGATTTTTCTAAAGCGATCCAAGAATGTTACGTGCCGATGTTCTAGATTTATGTGCGAGGATAGTGGCTTTTATTTGAATATATCTTTCGTTATGTCTTTTCGTTTTATGGGTACCCAGTGAAATGTTTTATTTGGTTTTAAGTTTCCGATTTAGGTGTTCTTTTGTACCGGTGCAGAATGGTCTAATGATTCGCAAACGGATTCGTCCCCACACGTTTTACAAGAGATACACTTTACCCGATCTCACACAGCCACTTCCTCTACCATCGCGGCAAATAATGCAGTTTTGTCTTTGTTATTCAGACGGTCATTCAAGCGGTTATTAAGTAAATGGCGTTTTAAAGTGGTTGGTGGTATTCCAGTCACTGATACTGGATTCTCTTGACCGTCTCTTTTTGAGCGTCGCTTCATAGATGTGCTTATTTCAATGGAGATAAAGGATAGGATAAAACCGACTCTTTTTCGTTAGACTTCTCCTTTATGGGTTTGTTTTTCCTCTAGATCTTTCCTAAAGAGCTACGGTTTCATCAGCACTGAAAATGGCTATAGGCCTCACCAATTTGATCGAGTGTTCCCTTTGTTGTCTTCTTGCGCATGCACTTGTGGCTGTTGGAAACATTTTTTCCCACCAGCGTTCTTTTGTTTGTGAAGGATGAGAGAAGAGGTAGTGAACCATTACGTTATTTCCATTTGGCTTTCGGTACCATTAGGTGACGAGGCCATTTTCGGGTAGGTCAATTTGAACGATCAGAAACAAAGGACAATTTTCCTGCGGACTCTATCGGATAAAATTTATGTAGTCTGATTGCTGGTTTAACAATTGAAAACATTTGTCCATCTCCTCTTGTGTTGAGCAGATAGTAAAACATTCGTAGATATTTCCTCAGTAGATCGATATCGTCGATGCTTCTACGTTTGATATGAACTCATTGCTAAGGTTTGGTCCCAATCGCTGTCCCATTGCCAACCTTCTCATTTGTGTTTAATATTTCTTGGACTATGTGAAGTTTAAGCAGTTTGCGCACTCATGAGAGTCCTGAGCTGCTGAATCCACAAGCCATATATGTTTATTGCTCTTTCCTATTGTATAAAGAGTTATAGGATGGTTTGCGTTGCGGAATCGTTCCAAACGTTTTATTTAACCCTCAAAATATTTGTTTTATAATAAATACTTTAACTTTTAGTGTATCACCTTCGTTTTTCTCTCGGGTCAAATGTGGAATCACATTCGGGGTCCTCCCTTCATAATGAACAATCCGCAGACTCGTGAAGCTAGTTTTATTCATGGTTCTGCTCAATATCAGGTATGTATTTGTAACATTTCAGAGTGCTGTTAGAAATCTGCTTTCCTTTTTAACTCATCGTTTGTAACTATTATAGCTCGTTGCTGAAACATATATAATTGGAACACTTTACGCTGCAATCACATTTGGATTTATCTTGTTGAACGAAGCAGCGAGCCCTAGTTCTGAGACCATTGAAAGGAAGAAATCGTCCTCTACGAAACCATTCTTCGGTATTAATAACAATAGTGAGTTTGGTGGATTTTTGCTACTGTTATTGTGTACATTGAGATGTTTGTATACAATTATTTGAAAAGCGAATTGGTAGGAGTAGGCAAGAACATGTGTACTTCGTATAGGTGATAGTTGAAGTGGTAGAAATGGTAGGGAAAGTAGCAATGGGAATGTACGTTAACACGTTTGTGACGACGTGCATTGATTTAAATGCGAGCAATGCAAAAATGTCGGTCGCTTTCCTGTTCAAACCATCCTGTTTTAGACTGTAATGAACATTTATTATTTGAAATGAAAACAGGTAGAATCTACAGATTTTTATATACCAAAGGAAGAAATAGTATCAGGAATGAAATCTTTCCGTTTTTTGTTTTTTCATCGAGTTTCATATTTCGGAACTTTTAACAAACGGGTTTAGCAGGATACGATGGAGGTTCCACAATTTATCACTCTTATTTGCGACCTCCGCATTTGCGTTGGACATTTTAAAAACCCCACCCACTTCTTCAATTCTCTTAAAGTTTTTGATTCCAACCCGCAAAAGGGTGGGGCGTGCGTTGTTGATCTATCCCTTAGGGGTACGATATGCATGCGAGTTCTTCGTGCTCTCCACTACTTCACCCGTTTTGATTCTAAGGAAGTTAAAATTGAACGAATACTTTGTAGAAAATGTGTAAGTAGTTAAGGCGACAAAGCAATGTATCTACTAAAATTCTATAAGTTCTCAGTTTAGCCAGATTGGTTGGGTGAAATATTGTTACCAACTGTCGATAAATCTGCTTCGCAGCGAATTTTTTAAGGAAAAAGCGGAAAAGGGGTATTAACAAAAAGCATTTAAAGCTTAGATGTAGTAGATTTGGGCCAAACAAAACTCTTGAGTATGTGCCAATTTTTTCCATTTTTTATTTACATAAATTTATATTTTACTTTTATCAAAAAATTTACTAATTATCAGTAAGCCATCGCGATGTATTGGGTTGACGTACCCTTTTTAGTTTGATTACCGACAAGATCAGTTTTGTTAACTAACAGTGATAATTGCTAAGAGTACCATCTACAACTCCAAACACTTCTTTTATGGGTTAAATGTCTTTCTGGTTTTAGTGTTGGCATATATTGGTCTCGGTTTTGTGGTTGTCTTCTTTTCGTTGATGTTGTCAATCTTCCGTACCAAGTACCGTGGATATCCGTATAGCTTCCTATTCAGTTAAATCACTTCACTGAAACGTCTTTAAGAATGAGTTGACCGTTCATTGTTTTGATGTGTAGATGCTGTACCTCATACGGTTCAGCATATTGTTATTTTCTTTGTAAGTCATTTTCTTGCTGGTATTTGGGATTTCTTAGTTGTTTTTCTTTTATTGGTTTCATTTTTTTCTGAAATCGTTACTGGCCTTCACGGTGTCTTAAGAATAAACATTGTTTGGATTGAATGCTTGCAATTAATCCTGAAATCTGATGCAAACATCGAAAAATCAGCAGTTAATGGAAGGCTCAAAGATAAAGAAGGGCTGTTGGAGGGATTAACACGCTACCCTGATAATATTGCATTACTAGAATGCATAAGACTTGGATTCTGAAGAAATGAATATGCTCACGGCAACATGAAATCATCAAACTATGGTTCACTTCTTCAGAGCATCAAACGAGTCTATCTTCGTTTGACTGATAACGTCTTTACAGTGACTGGAAGTATACCACCATATTATCGAAGTGGTTAGTCAATTAAATACGAAGTGGGATGATAAAAAGAGGACCATTAAGTTACATGAGTCTCTTACACCTCCATGTTAGATCGTGCATCTCATTTGTATGACATATAGAAGTCATCTAGGAAATCGAATGATATAGAACGAAAACCAGATATCATACCATCATATCTGTGGTAGCAATTTTTCAATGAACGATACAGGTGGATTCTCTAATCATTTTTGATGAGATATCGTTGAAAAGAAACGATTACTGTTTTTCTTCTTATCATAAGCCCAGTATTCATAGTAAGTTATTTGAAATGATACAGTTGTCATGTACGGTGATGCGCTCAAATGATGGGAGCGGAAATGTAGTAAAAGAGGATATCGGTTGGTTTTTTTTCCATCTTAAATAGTGACCAGTTCTAAACTAGATGGTACAAAACTGAAAGTGTAGCTGACGATAGTGGGACTGGTTACTTGTCGGTTCTTGTTTTCGAACAGTAAGCTTCTTCACCATAGTCGCTGTCTGCACATGATGTTTGATGTACTGCCAGTGAATCTTCCACTACAGCTTGTCTCTATAGAAGGTCTTAGCTACCTTTTTGGCTCGACCTTAGGTGATATAGAGAAAATATTCCTGATGAACCTCTTGATTAGAAATTGATGTGGACAGCAACGCTAAAGAAGTGGATCTCACTAGACGTCGGTTGCTCTCAGTGGCTAATTTCGAATTGATACCAAACCTTGAAATGCTTACGCTACGATGGAATCTACTCAAAAAGATAGAACATATTAACGGATTGCATCGACTGACAAAACTATCGCTTTATGATAATCAGGTACGACGGTCAGATTTAAGGCATTTTTTTTTGTTATAAGCCTGAGTTGAACGCTTCATAAATAAGACAAGGGATAAAACTTCCCCGTTTATCAATCTCTTAAGGATGTGCCAGGTATTCGATATCATTGGTAGCATCTGGTATCAATTTGCCTGACTCCAGAGGGACGGAGCCCAGGGCACGGGATCGAACCAAAGACCTCGTGCGTTTTGCAGCGCTCCTCTTAGCAATGCGCTACACGTCCCCACTCTCCTTTAGAAGACTAAGTAGTCCTAAACATCATTCGCACTTTTAATGTTAATCTTTAGTGTATTCCTTCATAAACGCAACATAGATCGACCCATTAGCGAGTGCTCCAATTGAGCGTTATTATATTAAACAAAGATATGAATTTGAGTTTTGCAAAATATACGAACGCCGTTTCGATTCCCTTTTTACACATTCTATAAAACTACGAATTTAGATTACAAAAATCGAGAACCTATCCGATTTACCAAATCTAGTTGTGCTGGATCTTTCCTATAACCGAATATCCAAAATCGAAGGACTTGACACACTTACCGATCTCAAGGAACTGTACCTAACGAAAAATAAACTCACAAAAATCGAAGGTCTCGATAAGGTCAATGCTTCAAAGAGGAATTATGAAACCTTCCATGATTATCAGATAACCAAGCGGCACTAATTTACAGCTAAAATCACTTGAGGTGCTGGAGTTAGGAGATAATCACTTAAGGAAGATCGAAAACCTGGAAATGTTGACGAATCTGAGGAAACTTTTCCTCGGTGCTAATCAGATCACTAAAATAGAAGGTACCAATGTATTTTGAACTTGCATATTTGAGAAAAAAAGAGGAAGATTTAGTATAGTTTAATGGCCCAGTCACCTTTGCTCAGTTGATTGCACTCAAGTATATTCACTTATCTTCACGTTCTTAAGTTCCCATCAACAACAGAAAGCCCATCTCCCTAACAAGTATTTTATTGATACCTAGGTAGTAAGGAGAACATTCCAATTTTTCGTGCACACTTCAGTTCTATTCTGGTTATCCTGGAACCAGTATGCATTGAGTTGGTCGAGTTCGTGTATGGGTTTGACTGCAATTTGAGGATCTTCTATCTTCTCTCCTCGTTGATGTGTTGAATGCAGGCCCAGCGACTTTCAATAGAATCCTTAGATAGCCATGGCTTGCGGTTCCAAGACACTCATGACAGGCAGCAGCTATGGAATGGTGTTGCCCTGCATTTATCAAGTATAATAAATTGGATGGATGTCTACTGCCTTGAGATCCTTCCACAATGACAATCACTTCTGCAGGACCAGCGAATCCTGCGGATAGTCTGCTGATCACCCGATGACGATGTAATCAACCAAATCTATTCTTCGCGTTGTCATAACAATTACTTTTACTATTCTTACGTATTTTTTCTTAGGATTGTGCACTTTGCGAAAACTGATGGTATTGAGCTTCATTGGGAATGCTATCAGGCACATAGAAGGCCTCGGATCATTGACTTGCCTTATGGATTTGGCTTTATCACAGAATGGCATCAAAAGAATAACAGGGTAAAGTGGACAACATTCGTTCACATTCCGAATGTCTCATAAGTCACGCATTATTCAATTCTATTTAGGTTACATAAGAATGTAGCCTTGACGACACTAGATCTCAACGATAATCAGATCGAAACAATTGAAAACCTACACCACCTTACTAATCTGAAAACTTTATGGATGCGAAAAAATCGAGTTAGATATCTCATTAGAGAAGCGCTATGCTTTCTTATAGCTTTTTAATGAGGCATTGATATAGATCTCAAACTGGACGGAGATTGCCTATCTGAATCGCCTACCAGCACTGAGAGACGTGACACTGGAAATGAATCCTATTTTCAGGTACTGTAGAATGGCATTTGTTATATTGGATTTATTTTACAGTAGTAAGTGATATAAGGTGAACTAAAGACACTGACAATGGACTTCTATATTCACTGTTACAAGAATTTATAGAAAATTTCTCGATAATATCTTGACATCAAAGAAACTGAGAATGAATGAGAAGAGAAAAATGAATTTTCACACACTGTTGACCCGACACCACCTTACGATTTACCGCCTCATCGTGGCTGGGTGATGTTCTTCCTGAGTGTCGAGCTGCGACGATGTGCAGCGTGGTGGGAGTGAGGGGAGAGGTTCCATTCCCCAGCAGGACCTTCTAAGCGGAGAAAGAGTCTGGCGTTTTTCATAAACTAAAGCATTTTTCAGCACACAACACTTTTATCGTAACAGAGTCCGAGAAATCCTGCCGAAAGTGCGAATTATTGACGCTGTTCCGGTGAACTGGGTTAACGGTGATCCATGGCAAGAAATGTTCCTCAACTAGGTCATCATCATTTTCAAGTAGTGTTCAAGTATACACTTCAAGTCAATCGATTAGTTTTGATAATCAATCACAAGATGGAGATGTTTTATTAGAAGATGCAGCATTAAGGATAAACAATCGATTCTTTTTCTGTGCACAAACCGACCACGTATTTTGTTGATCCCAACACTTCCCTTCATTCACTTCATTTTCCCACATTCATCATCCACCAGATTGTCCGGAACTGTTTATCGCTTCGTTCGTTATTTAAGGATTTTGGACTACCTTACGAATTTAATAATTCTGATAGAGTAGATCTAGTTCACTAAAGGTAGTTCTCTCACTATAAGTCGGAGATTATCACGCTATGGTGTCCCCAGGTCTACATCACAGATATTCGCAAGCGTTTTTGGAATGGAGAGAATTTCTCATGAAATTTTGGCACCAATTGTCAGATAGCGGAGAAATGGCAGGCTTGACTGGCGAAAGGCGAAGTAGGATAATGAGTGGTGGCCTTGCGTGTACAACAGAATTTCCACCGGTGCTCTAGTCGCCCATAAATCGAATTTACATGCGAGAAAATAACACAACACACTAAATTACTTTCTAAAAAGGATAGGGGATAAAGCCCTCGGCACTGATCAATCTCTGCGGGATGTGCCATGCATTCGAGTTCATTAAGTATCGTTTGTGAGTGGTTGAATGCATATTTGGCCATTACAATGACGCGCGGTAGGGTTCCGATGTATCGAGCCAGTGCTGCTATCCTCCCAGACAAATCTGGTACCAATTTTCCGACCCCGAAGGGATGGAAGGCTTGGTGGGCCAGGGGCGCGGGGATCGATTCCACGTTCGTGTTGCAGAGTGCCTCCGCCCACTGCGCCACACGCGCACTCACGCGTTCAGATAAACTACTGACTACTTAGTAGAAAAAAAGGAACTAATGAGCTTTACATAGATGTGTGTTTTTTAGAAAGTCCAGAAAAACAACCAGTACTGCCTTACTTACACTTAAGAGCCTGAAGATCGAAAAGCCAAAGGGCATTGTTTCCCTCCCCATATCTCATAGAGGAGATAAAAGGATAAATTGTTCAGCGTTGGTTAATCTCCGCGAGGTACACATGCATCCGACTCCACTCGCGGCATCGTAGTAGTGAAGAGTGCATATTTGGCCTATTCAATAACTGGCGGAGGCCTACTACCTCATTATTTTTCCCCACAGATAAATCTGGAACCAATTTTCCGAAACCGGAGGTCACAAGAGCTTGATTAGTCAAGGAGTCGAACCGGCACCTTTGTGTGCGTGCTGTATGGCAAATCTAATCACTACGATACACGAGACTCGCGCACCTAATTAATAATGATGTATCGGCTCAAAAATTGATTTCTATGAAAAAGCCTTTCATCCCAAATCACTTCAAGAAACATTCCTCTGATCCTTTTCAAATATCTGAACACTCGTTAAGCAAATATTGATTTCAAGGTATATCACCAGTGTGTGTATCATCGTAACCTCTCCAACTGCACAAACAATGAACAACGAACAATATAGCCACTATAATGCTTGGATATTTGCAAAGCTTGGACACCAAACCAGATCGAACCACGATTACTCTTTCCGGGGCTCACACGTTACCCACTGCACGACTGAGGCCTTTGCTTTGCCTTCCACTCAGCCAGTCCCATACTTAAAGGTGCCATCAGCAATCACCCTTCATAACGAACAATACAATTTTATTGCACTATGGACCTTAAACGGAACAATTATTCCAAGCTCTATTAATCAGACGAGATTTCTTCGGTTAACAAAGTTCAAAAAATGGCTGAACAAACCCTCTCTGTCCAAAAGCTATAACACAGCAATCCTCAAATATTGATTTTAAGGCAGCAGAGACTGAGCAGTCATTATGCATCATAGAAAATGCTAACGCGAACAATCTAGTAATAACATGACAAACATAATCACTTTCTGTAAAACAAACATAAACAAAGAGGGGAAAACAGATGACGAGCGCTGCAAGTGAAGAAGTAGGTAAACCGTGTTAATTAAAAGTGGTGGAGGGTAGGTACAAAATCCGAAGAACAGCCTACCATGCTCATCAACGAAGGTTCATAACCATGTATGTGAACAAAATTCTACAAAGTCAACATATACGAGAAACGAAAGAGTATAATGCACTACGTAGGAACTAAGATTCGAAACATCTGTCAGAAAAATGCAAATAATACCTACCAATAAACCATGACTTCATATACTTTGCAATGATTTTGAGGGCACAATTCGTTGACTAACTGATCCAAACACATCACGCAACGACTCTGTCCATCCCTGAAACGTATTCTTTCCTGAGATTAAGATATTGAAACGGCAGTCTACCGAATCTAGACTCAAACGACTTTTACTTTGTGGATCCTATTAACAATCTCTGGGTAGACCCACAACCAATCACAACAACTAAGTGTCGATTTTTCCCACGTTTCTCGTTTCCCCATAAAACATAAATTTGGAATATTTCCTAGCTTAAATAACGTTATCACTTAAACAGTTGAAAAAAAAAACTGTTCTAAACCGTACGATGAATCCAACTAATGAGTTTCGAGAGATCCCTTCTAAAGTATTTATTCAGAAAAAAAGGGTTCGTTTTCTAAAAAGTGAAACCAGACAATTAAGCATCATCAAGACACCCACCACTACAAAATAACTCGAAAACACGCGCTCCATAAACTGCGAAGAGAAAAGCTAGTCACATGAAACTAAATGAGCTATCTCATAGACAAACCGATTGTTCACATTTAAATTTGTAATGAAGTGGTACTCTTCCTAGTTAGGTCATCCTTGACTCAAATCAAGGTCCAGTTTGTAACTAGAATACTATTACTTTCAAAAACCCATACACTGGATAGGTTTTCCTCACAAAATGGCTACATTTCTCACTCGCAAAAGCCATGGGTGCGTATAGTGACCTGAAATCACTAACACGGCTACCTCAGAATCACAGAGAACACGTTTCAAAGCTACAATGACATTAAAACAACTAAGCTGATAATATGAGGCACAGATAGTTTTCTCTATATCGTTCTGCAATCATCTGAAAAGTGTCACCAAAGCTTCTAACATATTACAAATGTTGTTAAGACGATCCGTCTTAATCTTTTAAAATAGAAAGTGCTTCTAATTTCGACAAAGTCTAACATCTACATGTCAGTCAACTATCTCATCGAAATCAACTGAATCCGAATAATCGCATCTCTACACTCTAAAACAAACTGCTTCCTATTAACCTCTTAAGCAACACCTCATTTGTTAGTAAGCATGCATATAAAGTAAGGTAGAGGTGACAGATTGTAAGTGCGGAAACCTTGCCGAATGACGGAGTTTCGTGATGGACGACATTTTGCGAAGCACGACCGACATGTGCATCTAAGACTTTTTGGTAGCGTAACTTGCAGGCCGCTTCAATTGTTTTCGCCATTGTTGCTGCTGATGGCTCTACGTGGAATACGTAGCACATAAAGTTCTCCGATGATGTATGCATGATGAATGCGCAATGTCTGCAAAAAAAAAACAAGTAACGATAACCTTCGATCGTTTTCTTTAAAAACACTTAACAAAAGAACATGGCTATGCTAATCGTAGAAGAATAAAAGTAGAATCCCGCATAACTCTTCTATAGTGAAACAAATTTTAGAATCAATTTCTCCCGAATTATGACTCCAAACACGATTTTCCATCTTTTGATCAAATGAGCTAAAATGTATTACTTCAACATATTGTCTAAAAAGCTACAAAACTTTTTCTACCAGCCACTACACGTAACCCTATGTGAATCGCCGCAAACCTGAAAATCCATGAAAGCCATAGATTCTGAACAACTTTGAAAACGTGTTGTTATAATATATCATAAGAAAACCAGCACCGTCGTGGTAGTAATCTCCTTCATTACGTGGATGGTTCGACCTACCCAGGTCCTGGTTCGACGATGCACCCAGCTAACCAAACCTCTCAACCCTAGAGGTTGTAAAACTGGTACCAGACTAGCCCGGGAAAGGTTGACTCCTTCCAGTGCGTTCGGGAACCCCGCTACATGGCTATCTCAAGCTTCCAGAGAACAGCGACTCAACCGCCATTCAACGGGATTCATGATGAAAACGAAAAAATCACCAGCGCCAGCCGAAGCCACTCGCAAAAAAGTTTTAAGATCTTCGATGATGGTGGATGCGAGCAAATGAGCCGAATGTAGAAGGTGCGGAGATCCACAGAATGTGATGTGTGATGTCGGGTCACATAGTAATAAATAACAATGCCAAAACAATATAGTACATGGTAGTAAAGAAAGAGGGCATGTAGCGCAGCGGTCCGAGGCACCCTACCACATACACATGGGACCGACTCCTGCACCTGTGGCTCAGCAAGCCTTCCATCACTCGTGCCAGAGTCGGCAAATGGCTACCAGACGTGTCTGGGAGGATAACAGCACTGGTTGGATACATCGGTAAGTCACCGCGAGTCATTGCAAAGGCCGGGTGTGCGTCCAATCACCTCTTCTAACGACGCCTAACGATGTCGAATGCATGGCGCACCCCTCAGGGACTGACCAACGGCGACAGGTTTTTCATCTCTTTTTAAGGTAGTAAGCAAAGAGTTACAAAGGATTACATGAGAATTTCTATGATGTATTACTGTGATAACAGACAGAAATCGCTTCGGAAAATAAATGATGGATATAAGAGAGAAATTACGGAGAAGCAGATTTAGATGTGACCATGTGGTTCACAGTAAAGATGCCATTAAAATTACAGTTAAAGTATATAAACGAGGTATAAAGTATAAAAAAATGCTTCCTTATTCCTGATGTAATAAGAGACTTTAGCAAGAAGTTCTTCATAAGCAGTGCATACCGCGATCAATATGAAAGTCCCGAAACAGATAAAATTTTTTATTGTCGATGTTAACTTGTCAAGTCATTATATCACTAACGAAAGAATATGAAAGTGATAATAAGTGGCACTTATAAATACAAGTCGCGACGACCATGTATACTATTAATAACTTAAACTCCTAAAAAATTTACTTCACATCGCGTCCGATCCCCAAAAACGACAGGTAGCGCACACGACACTGAGCTATTTGGCCACCCCCAACCTCAGAAATCGTTATCGTGGATGGTGCTATTGCCACATCAGAAAGAATCCAGCGTTCTGCTCGGACCTGAAAGCACTTTTTAGATTCGAAAAAAACCTCCCACTTTCCCAATACATCACAATTCTCACACCTGAGACACCAGCCTGTCGACGGCTTCGTTCAAAATTTGGATTCCAGTTGCTCGTGGCACCTGCGTAACGCCAAGGAAATGACACCGTATTACCTTCTTCGGCTCTTCGTTTGGAGTCATAAGGCCGTTTGCTAAGAACAACATTATCTTCTTACGCAGGACAGACAGATATAACTAAATTCTTCTTGGTAACTCACTTCTAACGATACGTCTCTCCGGTATAGAATCCATCGTTTGCAGACTCGATGGTCGGCGATGGAGCATCAAGCGCTTACATATGTCTCTTAATGTGTTCGCAATCGTCTTTGCCGGTGTGTCACAACGGAACACATGGCACATGAAACGGCGCGAATTACGATCCCGAGCCACATACGCGAAATCTCTGAAAGCATCTCATACAGAGGCATATCAATCACTTCCTATTTGAAAACAAAAATCTGATCATACAGGTTCAACAATACATGTCATGCACAACAGCATGCCTAAGCGGTAGATGTTTTATTGCCCAAAAAACTGTATTAAAATTCCTTTTAAATTTATAAAAGCTCGATGGTTGAAAGTAGTTCAGACGGTTTGAAAGAACAGACCACCACAACCATAAGTAACAAAGGGTAAATAAAAGTTCAGCAGATCAGGGCCGATTGCAAACAGGCACTACCGATAAACGTTGAATAATTAGTGAATGTCATACTCCACACAGAAGCTGCTCCAAATTCTTCTTCTAAAATCTTTAGGTACCCTATTATACAATTTTTTGTACGCTCTCGGTCTTCGTACCAACTTCAATTTCACTTGTTACCAACGTTTGATAGCTTTCATCTCGCTGCTTACCAAGAACTGTCTGTTACACTTTTAAATTAATATCAATTCCAAGAGATAGTCGGTCTCATGGAAGCCACAAAACACTACCGAACAACATGAAAGATACTGTCAATACGAATATTTTTGAAGAGAACAACATCGGTTCATTGAAAAATTAAAAACTAATTACTAGCTTATAAAAAACGTGTAGTGGCAAGTCCCAAAGTACTGTAAAGAAACGTAGGAAACTTGCACAGTACGTACTTCGATAAATATTAGTGAGTACCAAATTCTCTTCAAAAACACTTGGAGACAGTAACACACAATTGTTTTTCTTTCTTCAACCACTACAACATTGTCTACTTACCTATCTCTGAAGATACGATGAAAACAGAATTGTATTAATAACATGAAATTCACTTTAAACACAAGAAAATTAGAAAGTAAAAACGAAGAACTCACCTTCCATTATCCCTACCAACGCCCCAAACACGAATTTGCTGAATCTTCTCCGTATGAATCACTTTCAAGGTGTCCGGGTCAATAAGAGAAAGTTCATTATCGTCGAGCTCCATAATAAGTTCGCGCCCCTGTAAAGAATACGTATTAGTAAATGAAAAATATAGCAAGCAGTAAGAAAGACTGGTAAGGAAAAATTACTTCTAAACTGTGAAGTCCATTTCTGATACAAAAAAGAACTCACATCACCCCATTTACTAACATTGTCGATAACATCATTACGTCCAGTGGATAGATCCACAATAGCTCTAAATAATCATTATCTTCGAGAAACCCAAATAACAAAAACAAGCAGAAGTGAATTGAAATTTTAAAAACGGACATACATGAGGCATATCCATCACCAAACATATTTATAGAAAAATAGTTTGTGAGAAAAGCTTGAATTTCCGTACTAGGCAATTTTCAGCATTCATAAGAGGGTATTACCAAGAAGGTTTATAGAAAACCAAAATCGGATTTAGGATTAGGGAAATTAGACAATATAAGATGCCTTGTCGTAATTCCGACGACCGACTTTTCAATTAACCTTGGCACTGGTCGAACAATTCTTTACAATCTGCTTAAGCAAACACGTTATTTTATGTTATTTACTTTCAATTATTTAAGAGCTGTTATTTTATTTCCCTATTTACTAACAAGCCGACGTTTTGGCAAATTTTGCCTTCCTCAGGGCCTGAAAAGGTCAAGCCGACCGCCATCTACCCAGCTAAACACCTCCATAAGACGACTCAAATGGAAGACTCATGGAAAGCGGTGAGTGTTCAAAGAAGCAACTCTGTGTTCAACGTGATTGAAATCGTGGCTTAGCATTTTCTCTAGTGAGTTGCGAAAGTGTTTGGCTGAGTAGATGGTGGTTAACCTGACCTTTGCAGGCTCTGAGGAAAGTGAAATTCGCCGAAACGTTGGCTTCTTCATAAATAAAGAAATAAAATAACACCTCATGTTTTCCCAATAAGAATATAAAAAATATCAAATGTTAATAAAACAGTTTTGCGAATAAACTTGCTCAAAACGAACAACTCATGCTATCCCCTGGTGAACAAATTTCTTACTCTTAACCCTTTTATTTAGTGCCTTTTTCTTCTTAATGGCAAGGTATGTTGCGAAATATAACTCGTATGAAATGCCGAGACATTTGCAAAACTCCGGACCGCAGGTGTATGCAGTGGGAACGAACACGCGCTGTTGTCCTTACCAGGGAGCAGCGTACTTCACCACCACACCATCCGGGTCCTTCGTCTTGCCTGTCTCTCAGCTAGTTCTATCAATCCCGTTGACGGGTGATTGTTGATGGCAAAAAGATCGATAGAACTAGCTGAGAGACAGGCAGGACGAAGGACCCGGATGGTGTAGTGGTGAAGTGCACTGCTCCCCGGTAAGGACAACAGCGCGTGTTCGTTCCCACTGCATACACTTGCGGTCCGGAGTTTTGCAAATGTCTCAGCATTTCATACGAGTTAAATTTCTTATTATTTCGAAAGTCGTAAACAATCATACTTCAAAAACTGATAAGTACGTGTTAACATAAGGAAGCACTTTCTAACACATTGGCAGGGGTATCCAATTCTCGCCCACTTACGGACCAGTCATTCTCAGGTCGTGCAGACCGAGGTTATTCATATCCTACTCTATCGGCGGATTGTTAAGCCTCTGCGAAAAGTGTGAAATATATTTCAGTGTTTTTGTTTCTTATACCTATTGATCCCATACTAAGACTCTGGACTAGCACATTGATTGAGAACGAAATAACAATCAGTTATTGCTCAAAAATCGAATTGCACAGGATCGGACCACGTCAGCGGCAAACGAATTAAGCTTTACTTTCAATTTACTGCTTATCGAAAGTGAGCCGATAATTTGCTAACCGTTGGAGAATCTGTATTGTACTGGCAAAAGAACCAACAGATATAGGCAATACAAGAAAGTTATAAGAGTCAGCAAATGTTGTAGAGACGAAAACATTCAATAGTCCGAGCTACCTACGTAGTTTTCGTGATCTCTCCAGATATCAAGAAATTCATCGGTCTTCACCTTAAGATGGGAAACATGAAGCTGCCACAACTGAGATGCTATTGTAGTTGGGATACTGCTTAGAAATGCTATCTTGTTGGCTTATAAGTTATACCCACACCCTAGTTTGAAAAGATTAGTCAAATACCAGGACCAATTCCTTTTAACCACAGCATTAATAAATAATTAACTTTTCTGTTCAGTCAGTTCCATTTGCCAGATAACGCAAGATGTGAAGAAACAAAAGACAATTATCTATCAACTTGTCGAAGTTGGCAAAAGAAATTTAAGAGCACTGAGAGATAGTGAAAACGTCTGCATCCATCGTAACTTCGAAGAACTACTGAGACAACTTTAAAAAAAAACTCCAAATGCATGAGTTCAACAGATTTATCTACTTGAGTTTGATCGACAGATAGTAAGGATAAGCACTTTCAAGTAGTTATGCCTTCGAAGTCAACAGGCGGAGAAACTGAGAAGTTGCATCAGCTGTTAAAAGACGAGAGAATGAGATCATATACCTGCTGGACTACATGGCTAGTAGGTTCGCACTAGATACAGCGAACGCAACGAATTTGTAAATATAATGGAGTGCAACGTCTATAGTATCTCAAACGATTACGTAAATAAAAGTTAAGATTATGATTATTAAGATTACGTAATGATTGCGAAGACACTGTTTTAGAAAAAATACTGAAGAATGAGCACCCTGAGCACGACCAGTCTTTCCACGTGCTACCAACAGGTGTATAAGAATTTCCTCAGCGGTCTTTCACCTTATCTTAGCAAATAGAGGATCCTAGTTGCGGATTTGGAAGTATGAGCGAAATAGATATGCTAGTGTCTGCTATGGGAATCAAACCAGACGAATGAGCTACTCCAAAAAACTTTTACTGAACTCCCATGACCGACTTTCTGTTAACCTCGGCATTAATTGATACTTCAATGTTTTTCATCAATAAGCAGACACGAGGTTGTTAATATAGAATTTATTAGAACACAATTGCTGACGTTTCGGCGGTTTCGCCTTCTTCAGAGCCTGGAAAGGTCAAATTGAGATGCGATCTGCTCAGCCAAACACTTTCATAACCCTAGCAGATAAAACTTGATAAATCGATTTGTATTCGCATAAGAAACAGCTTCATTCAAACACCTACCGTTTATTTGTTGTAAGTATTCAAGTTAGTTGGTGGATAGCCGCCGCACAGAGTAATACATGGTCGATAACTGGGTCCATGTCAGATCATTGGATCAGCCTGAGGTATGGCGCTAGGTCACGCGTGATGACAAGACACTCCTCCTTGCGGTTCATTTTTGAATTTTTGGCATTGATCCAAAAGGCTTCAAGAGTTTTACGCGCTGATGTTTTCGATTCCTGCGTAAGGATAGTGACTCCTACCTCAAAATCTTCTCCGTTGTGTTCTTGCATCCTATGCGCGCCTAGTGGAGTATTGTGTTTTAGTTTAGATTTACCGACTAGGTGTTCTTTTATGCGGACNATAAAACTTGATAAATCGATTTGTATTCGCATAAGAAACAGCTTCATTCAAACACCTACCGTTTATTTGTTGTAAGTATTCAAGTTAGTTGGTGGATAGCCGCCGCACAGAGTAATACATGGTCGATAACTGGGTCCATGTCAGATCATTGGATCAGCCTGAGGTATGGCGCTAGGTCACGCGTGATGACAAGACACTCCTCCTTGCGGTTCATTTTTGAATTTTTGGCATTGATCCAAAAGGCTTCAAGAGTTTTACGCGCTGATGTTTTCGATTCCTGCGTAAGGATAGTGACTCCTACCTCAAAATCTTCTCCGTTGTGTTCTTGCATCCTATGCGCGCCTAGTGGAGTATTGTGTTTTAGTTTAGATTTACCGACTAGGTGTTCTTTTATGCGGACGCAGAGCGGTCTACCCGTTTCGCCAACATATTCGTGCCCGCACGCTTTACAAGAGATCAGATAGACTGTACCCGAACTCATGCAATCACCGTCTCTACCATTTGGGCAAATTATGCAGTTTTTTGTTGTACATAGACGGTCGTACAGGCGGTTGCGAACTAGCTGGCGTCTTAGAGTGTCCGGTGGTATTTCTATCACTTTTACTGAACTATTAGTTGTGGAGAAGAGCTTTTCTCGGTAGGCGCTTACCGTAATATTTGTGTCGGCTAAACTATCGAATTAATACGAAATAGCTGCGTGCAAAAAAAACGAAAGAAAAAAAAGAGTCCTATTTGACTCATTCCGGTTAATTTGACTTGAAACGAAACAGTCACGATCTCAACCTGAGGAATGCGGCGTTTCCAACAGAAAGCCCTAAGAATAACCAATACCGAGATCCACCACCATTCTGGTATTAAACTAGTCAAATGGTGGCAAATCTCTCTCTGCTCCACAACAATGGCGACTGCTTGTGGTGGTGACGACTTGGGACGAATTTTGGCTTGGCTGACCTCAGGACTCCAGGAAACCAAAACAGCAAAACGAAAAAAACTCTGAAGAAGTGAAAGTAATGCTGAAGCCAGAACATTACCTCTAACCACGTCTTAATGTTTCCTGTAAAAGCCGCAAAAGAAAGTAAAAGTAATGATAGACTAAGCCTTCATGTCATTCTAAAATATAGGAAAGAATACTGTTGCAAAATTTCTTTAATGTGAAAATAGCAAAGGATGGCTTCAGAAAGACAAAAAAACATCGAGAACAACGCACTTGTTCACTGCTCGTGAACTTCTCTCGGCTGTCAGATCCTCCTCAGCGATTTCTGTCCAGCCTAGTGAACGGACGGCAAACCGAATGGGCTGCAAAGCGAACATATAACACTCAAACAAAAACGTCACTGCAACAAATAAATATGGCAGATGGTTTTTTGGGGAAAAAAACGAAAATTCATTGCAAAATAAACTTTAAGCATATTGGAACTCACCATTAACGACGGTCTAATGTATAGTAACAGAGCAGAAAGTGATGTTGAGCTCATTTATTTGAATAGGCAAGTTAAGTGCAATGTAATGTTGTAGAACGTATGTATCCCCCAAGGAAACTACGTCAAAAAACTTTTTCCATGTAAAACTCTGATTTCAATACAGAACACTGACACCGGTTGCTGAAACAGTTAAAGACGAACATTCCAGAAAACTTGAAATTACGAGTGGAATACGAGCACAGAAGGAAAATGTGAGGAAAAAAACAAATGCGCAGTAGTAGCTGTTACATACATGAACTTATCCTCGTTTCGCCACAGATTCAGCCATTTTTCAATGATTCGGCACAGCAGTAACCCTTCGGTGTTAACATGATAATGCAGAGGTGGACGATTGATAAGATGCAGTTTCCATATGTCAACAGGTAACAAAGAAGAGAATCCTTACTGCATCTGGAAGAGAGCGCCTACAGAGTTTTTGTTAGCATCGCCTCATTGTGATAGGAAGGTTTTCCAGGATTTTGAGCTGCCATGCATAGAAAGGAACTCACCCACCCGGATGACGTATACAAATGAAGACTGCTGATCTTCGAAGTTTATTTCAAATCGTTGGAAAATTCACCATGACTTTATATCACATAAGCAATATCACAGTAACAGGTAGGGCAAGCACATCATTAACGAGACTTGGCCAACGAATGGTTTTTCGTTACAATAATTTACAAATCAGCACAAGACTCTTGAAATAATTAAACCCCGATCGTAAAGTCTAGAAACATAGACGAAAGACCGCTCTATGTTTCGTCCCATGGTCTTTTTGCCTTTTGACATTTGAAGCATCAGGAGTACACTAATCAATGGGCAAAATGGAGAACTAGTGTTTAAAAACGAGTTACTTAAAAGCAAAAGATGTACATATATATACATATATAT